AAGCTGGAGTGTGTGTTTCCTTCATCTTTTCTGATTTACACTTGGGCAGGACTGCCCCAAGATAATTTGTTGACTGAGGCAGAGGAGCAGATGGTACCTTTCATGTACCCATATTAAGGTGCATATTAGTCAAAGCCAGCTGAAATTCTTTTCAAAGTGTGAGGATCCCATAAATACCGTTTTCCATCCCTTGAAGCGAAACAAATAAAGAAAAATAACAACTTGTTCCCCTTTCATGACACCCAAAAATCTGCTGCCTGAGAGCTAATGGTAGCAGAGTAGCCATCCTGAGGCAGTCATTTGTGGTGTACAGTCACTTGGACTTCGACCCTCACACCTTCCCCATCACTGCCACTTCCTGTTAAATAGTACATCAGTGATCCCTTAAGGAGGATAGTAAGGAGGATAGTGGTGTTGGTGGCTGAAAACCAAAAGCTCCATGGCAAATGCTGATGATGATATGAAAACTCTTCCAAGCTTTCCTCAAAGCTCCTATTGATGATTTGCCTGAGCGACATCCTCCAGCTTGATAAGTAATGTCAGTTTAAGCTGTAGGTGAAATGTGATGGCAACTCCTATTGGAATGTCACTTTAAATCATGTTTTAGCAGGTGCTGGGAGTAACTGAAGCAGGGAGAAAGAGATGAGATCTTTTAATTCTAGGTCGCTGGCTTCAATCCAGCTTCAGATTTGAAACAGAAATTGCTTGCATCAAAGAAATTACAGCTGGGAAATGTTTTCATCCAGACTTAATTCATGGAGCTTCCTTTCTGCAGGGCTTATGCCGTCTGTGCATTTCTTCTGAAGCTGCTTTGCTTTTTTTTTTTGTATTGCAACAAGGAAAAATGTTCATGCCATATTAATAATAATAATTGTGTGCTGTCAAGTCAGTTCTGACTTATGGGGACCTTTTTCAGGGTCTTCTAGGTACAGAATCCTCTTAAGTAGTTTACCGTTCCCTTCTTCTGGAGGCACCGTGGAATTGTGGAGCTTGCCCAAGGCCACAAAGGCTGGCTCTTCTTGGATGCACAGTGGAGAATCGAACTCCCAACCTCTGGCCCTTTAGCCAGATACCAACCCAAGCTCACTCAACTATCCAGCCATATTAGGTGAAAATTATTATCTCTTGTGTGTATTTTGTCAAAAGAGGTTTTCTTGTTATTCATTGAAAAAGAAATTTGTGGAGAACCCTGTCTGCTTAATCACCGAAGAGCCATATTTTACAATTCAGCATTTGACCTGGCCCCAGAGTTAGGAATTCTAGTCTTAGTACTGTATAATCCCTTTCTCTCCCCCCCCCTCCAGTAGTTGGAAACATGTGCAAAAGAAATCAATTACTATACTGACAATATTATGGTTCTTTGGTGACTCAGATGAGGGTAGAGTGGGAAGAATAATTTTCTTCTCTTGCACTAACATTGTCTCAAATGTCTACCAATTGTATGTTATTGCTCAGTAGTTATGTATTTTCCCTAGGCTATCTATGGGTTGTGTCCGTCAGATGCACAAGCAGAAGGCAGCTTGTCCAACAGGTCTTCCTTTTTGCCTCTTCCCTGCTGCTGCAAAGCCCTGTACCTTTGCAAAATATTTTCTGTTCAAAAAGACCCTTGTGAAGAGTCAGGGCTGGGTAATAAGGGACTTCACAATTGAGAAGAGAAATTTTTGAGGGTTGCATTTTGAAGCAGACATAGATTGCTTGCTAATTTCTAATATCCGCTTTCCTAATGCTGTACAGTTCTTAATTTCCCCACGGTTGGGAAACATATATGTATGGAACTAAAAATACATGCATACTTTGGTTACCATTGTAGAAAAGACTTGGGGAGGGGACACTATGTTGCCTAAGATGTTGTTGAACTTGTGTTCTTATTAGCCTCATCCAACACATTTAATGATCAGGGACAATAGGGATTGTAGTCCCAACAAATTTGTGAGGACACAGGCTCTTCAAACCTTATATAGGTGATAAAATTAATAAGCAGAAATAAAAATATTACTTCATTTCCCAATGCATTTTATCTCACACTTCTATCTGGAGGTACTCATAGTGGATCACAAAATGTTACACCAACAATGACAAATACAATCAAGGCTATAAATAGCAGATAAATGTAAGACTGGATTGTGAAGCAATCTGCTAGATCCACGCTGTTCTAGAAAGAGGAAAACTAATTTACAGCTTCTTCAGTAAACCACATCTAAGCTTATCTTCCAGTTTTATGTGAATTCTCTTCCTACAGGAAGTCTGTGACTTCTTTCTGTAGTGTCCAATAGGTCAGACAGTTTAAGGCTGCCACCCTTTCTTAGGTCTTCCTGAAAGATGGGCTTCAATATTATATTATAGTCCCGTACAGCAGTGGTTCTTAACCTTTGTTACTTCCTTTCTCAGGTCTTCCTGAAAGATGGGTTTCAATATTATATTATATTATAGTCCCGTACAGGATCACAGACTGTGGCCTATGGCAGTGGTTCCCAACCTTGAGTCCCCAGAGCTTCTTGGATTTAAAAAAATCCAAAGCCTTCAGCATGAGCTGTGCTAGCTAGGATTTCTGGGGGTTGTAGTCAAAGAATATCTAGGGACCCATCGGTAGCAACTGCTGGCTTATGGTAATAGCTGACTCAGTTAGTCAGCATCTAGTAACAGCTTTTATTATTATTATTCTAAAAGCTACAGAGGGCTCTATAATTTGTCAGTCTTCTAAGACAGCGTGTCTCAGTGTACTTTGGATCCTGTGCATTGCAGTGAATGCAGAATGAAATTTCTACCCTATCTGCCACTTCACTTTCTTTTTTCCTTTCAGTTCCTTCTCATGATCTTAAGAAGCAGATAAAAAGTAATGATAAGGGCGATATCCATCTCAGTCTCAATATAGCTCTAAAAATAACATGTACTGTCATCTTTTCCTTCCTGAAATGAAGTAAGAGTTTTCAGTGTACTGCCATCATGAAGGAAATCTGCCTTTTAGGCTGCTGTAGAAGGTAGAATTGTGTTAGCTGAGGCGGTCCCTTTAATGTCATATGCTTGCCCCTCAGAGTAAGAGCACAGTAAGGACTGAAGCCAGTCCTAACGTAAGAGTGAGGAACATGAGGTCTTGCATACTATATAATGACTGGGCGGGCTAGTCCTGATGGGAGTTGCAGTACAATGCCATTTGGAGGGCCTTGCATTGACAGCTCCTGTCTGAGAGTGCAGTTACATTGGGGGGGGGACTTCTATTTGAATTGAGTTTAGCATGTTTTAAAGCCATTTTTTCAAAGGATGATACACATGGAAGCACAGATTGTTTTGACAGGGAATGGTGTTATTTTTATTGGAAGTGAGGTATTTTACTCTTCCCTCAGAGGGTTGTTTATTTTAATGCCAAATCAGTTGTTTTGGAATGTGTGAACACCTTTGTCCGTGTAAACGATCTGTGTGTGCCTTCCCTGCTCCTATTCCTTCTCCACTCTCTCTGTGTGTGTTTCAGCCCCCACTTGGTGTCCCCCCCCCACTTTGCAAGCATTATCAGTTTCAGCACACATTCTCTCCCCCCTCATCTCCCGCCTTCACAAGTCTGCTGCTTGCTGGCATTCTTACCTTTGCCTTTGAGCAGCAGTGGATGAGTGGGTGAGAAGTGGGCTTCAGCCCCACCTGCAGCAAAGAGTAGATCATTAGGCAGGCTAGCTTGTCAGAGAGCTAATGGGCGGGCAGGCTGGAAACCCACTAAACAGCCTGTTTGGTGAGGAGCCTCTGTCTGACCTAGCAATATGTCACTGTTGGAAAGAAATATTTTTGCTTTTTTTAAAATAGCAACCAGCAAAAGGGGGGGGGGGACCTGTGCTGTCCTTCACAAGCCTCAATTCTCTCTCTCTCTTTTCGGCAAGGAGTCTCTGTCTGACAGTGATATGGAAAGTGTTCCCTTCCCTTGCAAGCCACTAAGAAGTTGGGCTTTGTTTTTTGTTAATTGATTTTGCCTTCCTTGTTGTCAGTGCTGGCTGCTATTCCATCGCTCTCATGTGTTTCATGCGAGGGAGCCATTGCAATATGCTAGTCTGAAATAGATTTAAAACATTTTAAAATATTAAAAAGAATACCACAGCAACAGCAGTAATTAGCCAGCATGAGGGTGGGCAGGTGGGTACATGAGAAAGGCTCGTTTGCCATTAGTCCATGTAGCCCTCTTAACTGATATGCAATACAGGTTTTTAAAGTTTTCCCAAACACACAGTGTTCCCAATACCATGTGGCTACCACATGACTTTAACCCGATTTCAAAAACCCCAGTCCAACTACCGATTCATTTTCATAGTGTAACCATGCTCTTAGCCAATTTCTTTTGTTTGCTTCACTTACTGTATTTTTGCCACTTTCCCTAATAACCACATGCAGTTCATATTTATAAGAGAGTAGGAGTTTTGCCATCCATGTGGAGATCTGCCATTGTACATCAGTGACAGAAGCTGTGTCTGCCCTTGAAAGGCCTCAGTCTTGATTGAGCATGCAAGATGATTTCCTAGTCAGCCAGCTTTATAGGGTACCATTTGTTGACCCTTGGGCATGGCCATCTTTTTTTTCTCACTTTTGTACCTAAGGGAGGAGAATTCACAGTATTTTAAATCAAATCGATTTAAATCATAATTTAAATTTTTTAAAAAATAACCTTTTGATTTAAATCACCAAAAATGTGATTTATTTTAGTTTTTAAAAAATAGATCATGATTTAAATTACTTTGATTTACAATATCCACCCTGTTCTTGATGGATGTGGGGAGCTCCAGAGGCTGTGAATCTAGCCTATATAAAATAGATGGGAATCTGTGGTCCTTCAGCTCTTGCTGGACTCATGTTCCCATCAGCCTCAGTCAGCATGACCAGTGTAATCCAGCAGCATTAGCAGGTTCTTCACTAACTACTATGTAAAATCTGAATCACTTGTTGGATGAGGAAAGATGAGCAATTATATAAAACAAATGGCTGCACAATGATTCTTCTTCAGCTTGTATATTTTTGTCCCTTTACAGAAACAGGACCAGGATGATGCAGACGATGACCTGGAAATTGCTATCGATAACACTGCTTTCATGGATGATTTTTTTGCAGAGGTGAGAAGACATTTGGGCTGGGAGGGAGAGAAAAAAAAATCAAAGCGTTATCCCATGAAGTGCAGAAATAGTGATATGTCATGAGGTTTTGCTGTTAAAATGGTTGCTTTGAGGACACTGCAAAAATATAGGAAATGACAAGCTTCTATCCCTTAGTACCATTTTCATTTTTCCCCTCAGACATTTAACTCCCCTGCCATCTGGGGAGAGGAGTGAGTGACCCCTGCCTTGCCACCTTGCTTGAGACGTTCCATAACACTTTAGGTGTCTAGCTGCATTCAGTCACGCAAAGCCAGCTAGACAGGTATAAAATGAGAAGATAGATCCAGATATGTGTCTGAACACAAATGTTGCTCATGCAGACTGAATTATTTTCAGTGCATATTTTGAGAGACATTTGTACTCTGTCCCAGTTCATTAAATAAATACAAGTGAAAGAGGGTGAGGGATTGCCTGATCAGTCATCTGTGCTGCAAGGACACTTTCCCTCTCCCTTGATATGTATTTGCCTACTCTCTTTCAAACAGCCTTGCATGTTTTCTCCAAAAATCTATAAAGGGGTGCCTTTCATGGCAGTCAAAGTCTTTCTTGGGGAAAGTATTGCATGGTTCAGCTCAACATTGCAGCAGTGATCTAGACTCAGCTTCCCCTGAACGGTGGTCCATACAGTACTTCAGACCAGGGCCACATTTTATGCCACACTGTGAATGAAGTGACGTCTGGTAACTGACATACACGCGTACCAGGGCATCTCCTTGTGGAGGGCTCCCAGAAGGCTTGTGAGGGGTGTGTGTGAATAGACAGCAGCATTGCTGAAAGTAGTGCAGCTTCACGCATATTATACTGTACTCTTTCAGCCTAGAGGTGTGAAGATCTGTTACTGGGTAATGTGACTTTACCTGTCTTTACCGGTATGGCCTTTCTTACCTTCAGTGCCTCTGGATCTTGCATGGAAGAAGGGACTAAAGGTATTGGGATTGAAAAGAAGATGAAGACCGCTGCTCCGTAGCCCAGAACCAAGTTACTCTTTTAAAATGTTAAAAGAATAACTTGTAGTAGGTGACTGGTAGGGCTTTTGGGGCCCAGAATATGTCTCATTAGGCCAGATACTATAAACACTCCTCATTTATTACTATTGCTACTAGGAACAATTTGGACATGCTTGAAGAATTTACCTTTTTATTTGTAAAAGTAGAGTGTGTTAAATGTTTCATATTGCCCAGGTGGGAGGGGAAATGTTCTGGGTGTATCCTTAAGCACTTTCACTTTGAGGATGGGGGCGCTTGTGGCCACTGACATTAAAAAGTGCTTGGTATGCAAAAAGGTGTGCTAAAACTGGTGCGGCTAAAAATATTGTAAATAAATAAATAAATGAATGAATGAATGAATGAATGAATGAATGAATGAATGAATGAATAAATAAATAAATAAATAAATAATAAATAAATAAACTGTGATGGTTTCTTCTATGAAATTTGTTCTTCTAATTGTTACCCGATTGTCTGGTCTGAGGCACTGCGGTGAAATATACAGCTATCTTTTCTGGGGCTCACACAGTGTTATCAAGAGAAAGGAAAGAAACTATCCATTGGCAGCTATTCATCCAGAATAGCAAGTGATGCAGCTACTGCTAAACACTGTGCATCAATTGGCATAATTTAATTCAAATGTGGTGGGAGCTTAGTGCCAGGTTTGGGGAAAGTTCTTAATCACCCTCGTATCCATAATGATTGATGCCTTCTCATCTTCTTTCCATAATTTTGTAGATTGAAGAAACCCGACAGAATATTGACAAAATTTCAGAGAATGTAGAAGAGGCCAAAAAACTGTACAGCATTATCCTGTCTGCCCCCATCCCTGAACAAAGTGAGTACCACATCAGCTCTTTGCAAGAAGTCCCAGCAATGATGTTTATGGATTCCCCCATAAAGACATAAAATCTGTGCCTGTCTCTTGATATCTTTTGCCCGTCAGGTCCCAGGTATGGGAGCTGAGGCATGGAAAATGCTTTTGGAAAAGCTAAGACTGGGAATCATTTCCTACCTTCTTGTGGCCTCAGAAGTAAATCATTTTGCTCTGCCCATATGTGTCTGACTGGAGTCCTCCTGACTACATGGAAAATAGTTTTGGGGAAGGAAGGATACTTCTTGCTGTTCTCATACACTCAGTGCTAATTTTATTTGCTTATGTTCTGCAGAGACAAAGGATGATATGGAACAGCTCACGGCAGATATAAAGAAAATGGCTAACAGTGTCCGAAATAAACTTAAAAGTAAGAGAGAGGTGCCTCAGATAAATTGGGTTTGGGAATCCATGTTTCTTTTGCTTGGCTCTTATTTAGGTCAGTTCTACATAGCAGCTGTTATTTCTGCAGGCACATGGTGTATCTTCTAGAAAATCCTGTAGTGTAGACAACATGCTGTTTTCTTTAAATGCCTTATGTGTGTGCATGTACAGATGTATATGTGGGAACACACACACACACATACACACACACACGAGAAGTCAGGACCAGTCCAAGTTCAAAGTTCCCTATGCCGATTATGTTCCTGCTGTCTCCTTTAAACCTCCAGCCATGAAAGGAACTGAGTAAAAAAAATGCTAGAGCAGAATACAGTTTAATTAGAAACCTTCCTGATCAAATATTTAATCTAATGCATATATTTATACGGCCCTCCCCTCCACTTTAAGAATTTTCCAGTTGGCATTTTGAGGCTGCATTTTGTTTTTCCTCTGTTCAGAGCACCATCGTTTTGTCATTTTCTTTCAGTCTTAGTCGCATACGTTCTGCAGGGGAAGGGGCTGCTTTTCCATTTGGTTAGCTGCTTAAGGGTGAGATACTCAAAGAGGAGAAATCCTTGTGAGAATGGAAGAGGCAGAGTGCATTTTTCTTGGTTATAATTTGTAATGTATATATTATAATTCATGTACTCTGTGTGTGTATTTATATTTTCATTTTTTGTAGTATCATAACTATTTTTTTTTAAAGTTAAGAAATACATTTTTTCTTGAAGACAATTGCTAACCCCTCCTTTGATTCCAGGCTATTGATATTGATATTGCTAGTTTTTAAATTGTGGCTTGTTTTTGCCTCTCCTGTTCTAATGAGGGGTGTTGCAAATCTAAAGCTGAATTTTTATGACACTGCTGCATCACACAAATCTTTCTGGCTCTACATTGAAAGGTGGAGTTTTATATATGGGCCCAAAGCTATACATGAACATCATGAGTGGTATTGCTTTCCTGAATTTCAAGTACGAGGGAAGTGACCTTCCTAACTGTGCAGGATGAAATCAATCTGTGAAACAAAACACCTTTCTGTGCATTCACAGGCATGGAGCGGAACATTGAGCAGGATGAGGTTCGATCGTCAGCTGATCTGCGGATACGAAAGTCCCAGGTAAGCAAAGCCCTGTGGCAGTGACATACTTTGGGATGACTTTGCCTGCCATTAGCCAGTGGCAGGTGAGTGATGTAAGGGGGAAAGGCTAAATGAGGCACAAATATGTTTTCGAAACAACACGGGGTTAACTGTTGAGGCAAGTGCTGTGATTCTAATTCTCTTGCCTCATCCTCATGTCTGCGTTCTAACTAATGTGTGAGAACTTGCTGTTAGTACTCAGTGAAGGTTCCAATGCTTACATGTCATTTTGCATGCTTTTTAATTTTGATACTTAAAAGCCCATATTAAACCCTAATGACAATGGGGAACTGGTTCAGTAAGGGAAAGATGAGTCAAGGTCTCTAATTACGTGATGGCCATATATCTTTTCAGTTTAACAAGGTGGAAGATGGGGTTTTCTTTTTTTTACTCCTAAGAACTTGGAGTTTAATAACGTTGACTTTGAAATATTTTACAATAGGAAAAACAAGCAAAAGTTTCAGTTGCTTTAAAAGTTAAATGTTTTTTAAAAAAACACACTTGAAAGAACTAGAAGAGGTGTAGTGTTTATTTTTAAGGCAGAACTAAGATATCTGTTTTTACTAAAATTAGTACCTCTTTTTATTTGAAGTTACGAAAGATAAACTACATACTACTATGATAAACTGCATACTGCTGTGTAGATGGGAGGTTGAATGACAGACCCAGATTCTCTTGAAACATTGTTTCTCTATTTTATCAGCATTCAGTCCTTTCTCGAAAGTTTGTTGATGTGATGACGAAATACAACGAGGCACAGGTTGACTTCCGGGAACGGAGCAAAGGGAGAATCCAGCGGCAGCTTGAGATCAGTATGTACCCTTTCTGTTGCATGACCTTGGTCTTTGGGGCAGACTTCCAAAGGTGAAAGAAAAAACAGTCCTTTGCTTTGACTTAGAGTAGAATTATTTGGGAGATACTTTGGATACTTTTCAGTTTATGGAACACTTTTTCTATCATGGACTGAGGACTGAAGACTGTTCTGTTGGCTCAGAAATTTGACACTTCTGAAACACCCTGCTTTAAAGGCAATGGTTTTCCTCCAGTAGCTACCAGTGCCACCAACCCAGCCTTTTCTTTTATGAGATTTCACCCAGTGTTGGTGTTCCCATGCGTTCAAGCCCGTCTTTCTCAGTGTTAAAGGCTAGAAACTGAATATATGGATTAGTTTGAGTACACTACTTTTGTAATCATCATCACAATCCTGAAAATTAGGTCTGCAGGCCAACAAATTTACTCCCTATTGCAGAAATCAATAAAACTGCCATTTTTTCCTGATCATCTTTTTTGTATCTATTATGTTATTGTTAGTCTTGGGCATGCTTTTGTGGAAAGGTGGAATATAATTTTTGAAAGGCTAGGCTATAAATAAAATAAAACAAGGTAAAATAAACTGGAAGTTCTGCACTCAAATCATGTTGTCACTAAATATGCCAAAACCTGGTGGTTTTAGGTTGGCTATGAAACCAGTGATGGGCCAAAAGTAAATATTGTCAACTATTTCTTTTCCTGGAGTTTACATAGCTTCCCTGGAAATGCTTTTCCCACTGCAGTATTTGAAGCTGCCCTCTTATTTTTCCCCCTGACATATAGCCGGGAAGAATACAACAGATGAGGAGCTGGAGGAAATGTTAGAGAGTGGGAATCCATCAATATTCACATCTGGGGTGAGTGCATCAAAAGGAGGCCACTTGTTGTCTTTTATTTCAAATCAGTAAATACTATTACTGTATGTACATCAGAGGTAGACATGTGGAAAGCAAAGAAGAGCAGGTGGATCCTGAGTGCAAAGGTATGTCTGCAGACTGTGGGGGTGGAACTGTTTTCGGGCATCATCACTGGATGATTTTCCTCAATCTACAATTTTTAATAATGAGTCACAGCTGTCAACATTAACAAGGTTTATTTATAGGATAACAGTTCAATCATACATGAAAATCAAAGATGGTCTTATTTTATTTATTCAATATACAGTATGTTCTTTTGATTTGAGAGATGCTTGCTTAGTTACCTTTTCTTTAATCACAATGTTGCTATATTTAAACAGTTTCTTTTATTATTATCACTTTTAATTCATTCAATTCTTAACCACACAACCTTTCCAAGACTTGTCCTATTCACATCCCTTTCAATCTCTCTATCTCTCTGTTTCTCTTCTCTCTAACACAACCATGGCCCTAACTGCCTAAAAACTGTCAATAACTGTCTTTCTGTCTCTTTTTTTTCCCCACTGATTCCGCCCCTCCTGTCATGTGATAGCCCCCCCCATCAGAGCTCTGACCTGACTGACAGGAGTGTTCTGAGAGCTGTCCGTCACAGGCATCATCACTGCGAACAGCCATATTATTAAGAGTTTGGACAGAAAGTGTAAATGGAAAGATATGTTCAAGAAGAGGAGCTGGGACTGTGGTGGGTGGCGCATGGGAGTTGGAGCACATGAAAACTGCAGTTGTATAAAGTTTTCTATTGTTCCTTCAGAGGACTGCGATCATCATGGGACAATCTGTGTTCTAACTCCCTCTAGATAATGGATTCCCAGATTTCAAAGCAAGCCCTGAGTGAAATTGAAGGACGGCATAAGGACATTCTGCGGCTCGAAAGTAGCATAAAGGAGCTTCATGACATGTTTGTGGACATTGCCATGCTGGTGGAGAACCAGGTAACTGAGCTAGGCTGAGAGATTAGAGAGGGAAAGAAGAGTAACCAGTGGAGAAAGCTGAATGCAAACTAAGCATGACAGACAGACAGACAGACACCAAGGCTGGCTGATTGTTTAAGCTATGCAAAATGGTGGCAAGAAGCTGCACTGGTGAAGAATATTGACATCTGTAAGATTTATTAGTTATGTTTATAGCCTTTCTTTCTGCCAGTGAGATTAAGTCAGTGTACATTATGCTCTCCCTCCCCCCTTACAAAAATCCTCTGAGGGAAGTCAATCAGAGGGAGGGAGTGTGACTAACCCACAGGGTTATTCTGTGAATTTCATGCACTAGAACCTGGGTCCACCACATCCCAGTCCTTTATTCTAACTGCTGCATCCCACTGGCTCCCTAATACAGTAGTTCATTTTCCTAATTATTACATCACAGTACTTCAAGAAGTCCTCAAGTGGCATCATAAGTGGCTAAACCCAATCCAGGAAAGAATTTCAAGTTGCTCTTTCACAAAACTTTCCTATCAATACTAGCTGGCTGGCTTGGCTGAGGGTGGGATGGTAGCTGATTTTTGTTCCAAGGATAGAATGCCATCTTTTGGATTACTGAGGCAGTGTTGTTCGCCATGTTCTCAAATATTTGTCTTTATTTCATTCTAATAATTGTCACCAGACCCTTTCAGTTTGGGGTCAGAAATAGTCTGCTTAATAATGCCGAGGCATTGATGTCAGTCTCTAAGGCCCCATTTCTTGTTTTCTGCTCACAATGCAATGCCGAGGAGGTGATGTTCAGGTGAAATAACGGTGAGTGTTTTTTTTCTAGAATTTAAAAAAGCTTTGGGAAGAGGGAATAAGGAAAGGCTAATGTGGGACTGCCATAGCTTGCGGTCTACAGCAGTCTTTTCCAGATACCTGCCTTTACCACATTAGCCAGGGGATTATGGGAGGTGGAGTCCAACATATCTGCATGGTACCAGACTGGGAAAGATCGGACAACAGAGATCACATGCTTCTCCTCAGAGAAGGACATCTGATTAGAGGGAGTGTAGCAGCAGTGGGACTGAGCACTTGGCTCCCCAAAGAGCAGGGCACAGGCTTCCAGGACAGCAGGTACACGTGGCAGGATGAGTGGAGAAAAAGAGCTCTTCGTTTGGGAAGTTGTAGAGGTTTCCTCAGAGCTCTTCTCCACATCAGTGGGTGCTTTTTGTTTTGTTTCTGTTTTGTTTCTGTTAACATTCTTTCTCACTCTCTTTTTATCCCTCCTTCTCTTAACTTTCACAGGGAGAAATTGTAGATAACATAGAACTGAACGTGATGCACACCTTAGATCATGTAGAGAAAGCTCGTGAGGAAACCAAAAAGGCCTTGAAATATAAGAGTAGTGCGCGCAAGGTGAGCCTGCCCTGTGGACAACAAGCTCTGTGCTGCCAGAGGCGTCGCCCTCTTACACCTTCTGCCTCTGCCTCTGTTTCCTGCTTTCCTCTGCTTCCGGCTTTCTTCTTTCTCTACAAGGGATCCATGATTGACCGCATAGAGACCAACATGGACCAATCTGTAGGCTTTGTGGAACGGGCTGTTGCCGACACCAAAAAGGCTGTTAAGTTTCAGAGTGAAGCACGAAGGGTGAGGAGAACTAACTGAAGTCTGCTTCCCCCACTCCTGCCTCTTTCAGACCCCTGTCTGTGTATCCCATGAGCCAACAGGAGACCTCCCCCCCCCGGCTCCTCTTGACCTTCTCCACTCCTTTTTTTTGCCAGAGTCCCCGTGCAGTTTTTTAAAAAATGCAGTTTTATTTAGACTTGGCTTTCCCATTCTATCTAGTTGGTGTTCTTCTGTCATTGTGAATTGTGAAAAACCCATTTGTTTAGTTAATTCATTAGATGACTAGCTTCTGTTTCCCAGTAATGCTTAGACACCCACACCCTATTCTCTAGCATGAGGAAGGTCTCTTCTTTCACAGTTAGTTCTCTGAACTGTCTCTGAACTTCTTTAGTGTGGTAATCTACACTTCTACTACTTCTGCTTTGGACTACCTTTCTATTCTTTGGTGTGTTTGTGTGTGCCAAGCCTCATTCCTGTATAAGGGGGCAGGGGATTTTGGGAAGTGACAAGTCCTTTGGGAGAGGGATGGTCCTTGGTGGGAAATCTTCTTAGTAAGCTCCATCTGACCCACTTTTAAGCTGCTTCGGTGGCTGAAACTCAAACTCCAGAGAAATGTGGCAGGAGGAAAGGTGGAGTTATTGAATGTGGTTCAGCTGCTGAAGTTACTGTACAGGCGCTCCACTGGGAGAAAAAACAACCACTCTGATGAGTGCCAGTGTATACTCAGAGCTTCTCGTTTTCACCTCATTGTAGAAGAAGCCAGGATTGAAGTAACTGAGAACATTTTTCATCCAATAGTCTTGCTTTCCTTACAGTTGTCTTAGGGCCAGGGAGTATTCATTTGGACAAGAGATGGACAAGAGGCCTTTTAATCATGACTGAGGCTGTGATCTCATGCCTGGCAATTATCTGGGTATTGCCTCTTAATAAATGCCAAGGGATTGGGCTGGAAGTCCTACCCAAGGGCTCTGTGCCCAAGTTAAACATTGGACGAGGTCCTTTGTTTTTTCTTCTTGAAATGTCCATCAATTATTGAGCAACTTGATTTTTTAAAAAAAGTCTCTGGGACAAATGTTATCACCTAAATGATGTGTCGTTTGTCAAATCATGTCTATTAATGCTGACCAACATGAGCCAGAGGTGAGCATGGACATGCAGCTCTGCTCATAGATGTATGCTGTTGAGGTGTTTAAGCTAAACTAGAAGCTGCTCCTGTAATATATACTCAGTGCCCCCCCCCCAATTTGTTGTCACATCATTACTTAATACTAAATTTCCCTCTCTTTTTTCACCCTTCTAGAAAACAATAATTATCATTGTGATAGTGGTTGTCTTGCTCGGAATTGTAGCTCTCATTATTGGACTTTCAGTAGGGCTGAAGTGAAAGCAGCCAACAGGGCTGCATGCTCTGAACCGTAAGTAGCCCAGGGGGGATGGGGGAGAGAAGAGTTCTTCCAATTCTTCACCTTTTGCTAAGGTTACTTTGACAATTCTAGTGGTCTCTGCTGGTGCTTGGCTGTCAGGAGGGCTTTGGAATATCTCTGTCTCCATTTGGTGGATTCAGGACTAAAGATGTTTTGTGTTTTTTCCTGGTCTCAAAGTCACATCTACTCTGAAGCGGCAAAAACAAAAAAGGGGGGGGATTTGGGACAAGCCGTATTTTACCTACAGATGAACAAAGAGGCGTGGAACATAGTCGGGGACAGCTAGAGATCTTTGTTGAGGCTCTCAAAGGCTGTGACTGGGAAGGGCAAAGCCATCTCACAATTACATGCTTTGTGTGAATGTAGACTATGTATAAGGCACTTAGGTAATTCTGCAAAAGTTGCCCATTTATATTCAAAACCCATTCCCCATTTCCTTTTTTCTTCCTTTTAAAAATAAACAACCCATGAGGACGAACAGTGTACGTGACACCAAGGTTCCTGGGATTCTAAAGCTGCCATGAAATTCTGGAATGTTGAAGCACACTGGTGGTGACAGAGTTTTATGCCAATTCTGACCTGGAGGAGGGTGGATATTTATACTTGTCCTTTACTTCTTGAGCTGTGAATTGACATGGACATTTGTGGTTTTGCTTCTTGACCATTTGCTTCTGAGTTCATTTCTTAGTATTTGGGTGGCAGTGGGAGAGAATGCTTGATAAACCTAAGAGAGGACAGGCTCTTCTGGAGACCCATGACGTGGTCTCTGAAATTTCTAAAACAGCTCAAATTGAAGACAAGGAAGTGACTCAAGTTCTGGCAGAAACAGTTTTTCCCAGAGTTGATGTAGGGTTTGTGCATCAGCTACTCTGCATATGTGATATACAAATCCACCTTTTTTTTTCTTTTTTCTTTTTTTTTGCAGAGGAGGGTTAGGAGCACACCCTGCTCCACTTAACATCCTGCCTGAGGTCTGATGGTATTACAAGCTATCAGTAGAAAAGATTGTTTAACAATGCAGCTAGGTGAAGATATACTTAATCAGTTAAAATTTTCCTTTGAGCCTATAGGATCCTAGCAGCAGGTTAATGACAGATGCTCATAACATGTCTTTGTCTGTCTGGCCCTCCCTCTCTCTATGACCAGACTTCCGGCCCTAAGCATCTCAGGCTGTGAATCATTACTATTCCTCAGACATGACCCACTTACTCTATTCTCCCTCATCTCTGTTAAGAGCAGGCAACCTGGTGCTATTCCCATAATCTCTGACCAGTGGCTCTCTTATCTGGGACTTGTTGAATCTATAGCTGGAAATACCTGAAAGGCATCAGGTGTCATACTCATGGTCTTGACCTATGTACAGGCCATCTCTACTAATAAAGTTAATCTCTTTCCTGTTAGGACCTACCTCCTTTTGCCTTCTCCTTCTCTACGTGCGTCCTTGTGACCAGAATACATGGGTGTGTGAGAATTAACTTTTCCTACTTTGTTCCTTTTCCTTCAGACGCTCCCAAGCTCTGCCTAAGTTGGTAGCAAGATTTTCCCCTCCTGTGGTGTGACCTTTCCCTGACTACCCTCCGACCTGGCTGCTTGGATTAAGTATGAATGATTTCCAGCAAAACGAGCTCACCCGCACCAGTGCTTCCTGCAAGAGCAATGTACTGTTCTGGTGCACTCCTCGGATAAAACTCTGTATCGGGAAGATTCTGTAGTGTACCTTTGCTGAACCCAGGAAGTCCAGAGACTGCCTTGCACTCCAGAGGAAACTTACCGTCAAATCTGCTCCTTACCCATCCCTTCCTCCCCATGACACCTGAAACCTCCAATTCGAACATTTCCTGTTTTTAAGCCGACAGTTTTCTACAATGTTCTACATACAGTAGAAAGAACTGTAAAAGAAATTTTGTTGTTGCCTACCTCATGGCCTTGTTTTCAGCTGTGCCTCTTCCTTTTCTCCTTTCCTGCACCTTTTCCAAAAATGATTGTGCCCAAATTCTTAATAGAAATGCCAGGTATTATCCCTCATACAAATTGCAAAGGTTGCGGTACACATGATACTAAAGTACCATCTAACTGTGCTTTTGAGTCTGGCCTTTGAAAGAGGGAGGCAGGTTTGCAACTCTCACACAGTTCACTGCACAGAAATTGTAGCATGCTGGCAGTCCCTTGCACAAACTGCTGGGCCACCCCCAAAGAGAAGGCAGGGTCAAGTGATGACATTGAAAACTTAATAGCGCAAGCGCTTACACAGTGTTTTTAGTCAATCGGGTACATTTTGAAGTGAGATCAGATTAGTATCACAGGAACATATGCATCCACTTGAGGCATGAAAATTCAACCTATGGTTTTCTGATTGCCGGCTGCACTTGCTTATGTAGCATTTGCAGCAAAGTCCTCCAAATGCAAACCATTTCTGTTGCGTCTCCTACTCGACTCAAGCATTGCAGCAGAGTTTTCACATTTTGGGCAGGTGCAACAGGTTGGGAAATGTGCCACCAGGTGAAGACACTCCTCAGGGATATATGTGGGTTGTAAATTTAAGACCTCACTTCACTTGTTTGAAATGCAATTACATTTCTGAATGGAATAGAAAATAATTATTTCCAGCTTACAAATTAAATTTTGTGTGTATGAGTTGCACAAATTTGTTTTCTTGAGTGAGTGTACTTTAATTTTGAAAGCATGGTTGTGCATGCTCTTTCTTCCAGTGTAATTCTGTATGTATGTATGTATTTGTTGGATGACAGAAAGGTTTTCAGGAATCAGAGGCACTCCTTGCTTTGAAGTGTTATGTTTCATGCTGAGGTTTGCCCTTTGAAGGTCCACATTGCATGCCCCTCCTAAAATCGCTGTTTTATTCTGGCAGCTTGGTTTGTAGGACATGTAAAAACAGGTATGTAGAAAAACAAGGGGTTGATGATATGACCCAGTTGCTGAGATGATTGCCTTTCTGATATCTAAGATCTTATTAGAGAAGACCTTACTGTTGGAGAAAAGACACCTATCTTGTTAGAGGTGGAGTCGTTCTGTCCATTTTCTGATAAGGGGATACTTCTAAGAGTTAGTAAGTCCTTAAGTGATAACTATTTTCTTCAAAGATATGTTGCTGTACTTGAATTTCACATTTCTTTGAATGCATAACTACGGTGTTACTACAGGTTCTTAGCCCCCACCTTTTTTTTTAAGCTACGTATGTATCCTCCTCCTACAGCTGTCACTCATAGTAACTGAGGGGGTTGTACATGTGTGTATATTTGTGAATGCAATATAAACTCTTAAAACCCAGCTAAGGAGACATGTGATATCCCCTAGTGCAGCAGTCCCCAACCGTTTTTGGTCCTCAGACCAGCTGGGGAAGGCAGGGCACATCCCATGCTTGCGCGCATGCGTGAATAACCACACACTCTCTCTCGCATGGGCACAGGCATGCTTGTGCACATGCACAAATGGTGGCGCAGCACTCGCATGGGCATGCTGGAGTCGTGCGCAGCCACAAACGGGCTGTGCAAGGATGCGTGCATGCAGGGGTTGTGCGCAGCCACAAATGGGCTGTGCAAGGATGCGTGCATGCAGGGGGGGGCGGGAGGTCTGTCACGGTGGCCCGGTCCTGCTCTGGCCATGGACTGGCACCAGGTTGGGGACCTGTGTCCTAGTGAACGAGTATGATTCAAGTCATAGTGAATATATTTGTCCTTGAAAAATAGATAACTGCATCACAGTTATCTTTGGCTTCACCATCAGTACTGTCAGTGCTTGCAAACATACTTCAGTGACCAAATGAAGTTGATTCTTCCCATTTTTTGCCCAACCCCTCAAATTCTGGGATATATTCCTAGAACGGAGAGGTGATGAAGCTATATGGCAGAGGACTCAGATTCTGGGGATGCCCAAACTTGTTCTGTAATTATATAGATTATTGACTCGGATAGCTGGCTTAGTTTTATCTCCCATGGGATATTTATAGCTCTTTTGTTGAATTTAAGAAGGGTTCTTTTTTGGTAGGAGGTGTGCCTACATCCTAATTACTGGCACTGTTTCCACCATCTACATTTTAAAAACTCATCCAGCATCACGTTATGGTGTCTTTATGCCTCAGATGCCCTATCATGCTTTATCTGGTAAAAAGCATTTATGCTGCCCTTCTCTGTGATCATAGAGATGGAGCTGGGGATGGAGGAGACTGTAGTGATGTCCTTTCCTCTAAGACAGTGGTTCCCAGCCTTAGGTAACCCAATTGTTCTTGGAGTGCAACTCCCAGAAGCCTTTACCACCAGCTGTGCTGCCTGGGATTTCTGGGACTTGCAGCCCAAGAATACTGTACCTAAATTACCCAAAGTTTGGAACCACTGCCCTAAAACTTTAGTGTAGGTGGCAACTGGAATGGCTACCTGTCAGGGCTATTTATTCCACATAGACAGCAGAGATGTAGTTGTGTCGGTGCTTTTTTTAAAATGATTTTTAATGTGATGAAAATGTAGTTGTGTTGGTGCTTTTTTTAAAATGATTTTTAATGTGAAAAAATAAATAGTTATTTGAACATCCATCTGTTGTATTCTGTACTAGATTAGATAGTAGCAAAAAGAAAGAAAGAAAGAAAGAAAGCCATACCAATAGTTTCATACATGTTGTGGTGTGATGTGCTTTCTGTGGATCATACCTCTATGCTGTATGTACTTTTGCAATACATCTTGCAATAGATATGTGATGTGTGTGGAGAAAGAATGTCATTGTAAACAAAGGGATTGAGGTACTGCCTGTAATCGCATTTGGAACATGGAGTCTTGCTGGTATTCTTCATTCCACTGGTTATTATTGTGAAAGATCCTTCAGGTAAGATGGCACTTGCAGTAGCATATTCATATACTATGGCACTACTCTTCTGCTGGAGGGAAAAGTAATGCTGCCATTTATCCACCAAAACAATGTCCAAGACTGAGAACTGTACTTCTTTATTACATAAAAGTGATGGCCTAAATCGAATTGCTTGTCCCAACTAGAATAGCCCCATTGAAATAATTGTTTGAATGATATATCAAACATCAAATACTTTCATTGGATGGGTCTGTTCTATTTAGACAAGCAATTGAATTTAGACCAAAGAACTCAAGAGACAGTTGCTTTGATATAGAAAACTCCATTGAACACATTTGGTGGCATCTATGTCTGTGAAAGAACAGCCCACGATTTTCTCTTTAACCCTTTCGTATTGTTTCCCAAGCTTTACAATCCCATCCTCTGCTTCTGTGACCCACACAAGATTGTCTTCTTTCCCCTCGCTCTTGTTACCATCTCTGTTCTAAGTATGTCTGTATATCTTACTATTCATTTCTCCTTGCACTGAGCAGAAGAAGATCATGATCATGATATGCTGCATCATTCTTGCCATCATCTTGGCTTCTACTATTGGGAGCTTCTTTACCTGAGCGCCCATTCTGTGTCTCTCTGCTGCTTGGCCCAGGTGAGTTGCATGCTGATGTGGAAGTCTGGGCTCATGCTGATCATCTTGGTTAGAGTACATGTGGTCCTCATAGACAATGGCATTGTATATTTTCCCCCAAATAGACCACTAGAGATCTAATGACTTATTTTGCAGATGTTTCAACAAATAGTTTTAAAAAATGAAGAGCTGAAAGGAAAAAAGTTTATTTTTTTGTTTCGACAATTCAGTTGAGTGAGGAAAGCAGAAAGATCGGCGTTTGCAAATAGATAGAGAGCATTAAAATGAATTAAATGAAAGGTTAAGATCATCATGCCTAACTCATATAGAATAAAGAAGAAAATGTCCATGAATTAAGTGCAGCCAGCTTCCATAAATCTAGTTTATTTTGACAGAGCAGCTTTCTCCAACATGGCACCCTACATATTTTGAATGCAAGCTCCCATCAGCAATGCCAATAGGAAGGTTTTATGGGAGATATTGCCCCAAACATCTGGAGAGCACCAGACTGATACTATGTGCTAGAAACCATGTATTACCTATGTGTCTTCTCAATTCTTTGTATTTTCTCTCTTCCAGGATGGATTTGCAAGTTGGCTTTCTTTTTCTCTTTTGCTCGCTTCCCCTGGTCCTACAATCTGCCATGCTTCCTCTTTTTTCAGAGATGCTGCAGCCACTGTTAATTTTTGAAACATTTTAGCTGGATTCCAGGTGGAAAAAACAAAAGCAGATAACAGAATAGGGATGAAGCTTGGGTCACAACTGTGAAGCCAGATATGACCGTGGGTGTGAACATTATTAGAGCACAATGCCCTTGTCAAGGTTTGAAGTATTTTTGAGATAAATGCCAGTTGTATAAACACAGGCTTATGATTTTTCCCAGAGGTCTATAAAAGTCTATAGGTCTCTTGGGAAGATGTTCAAGTGTCAGACTTTCTCCTGATACTCTTGTTCGTAGGTTCTTCCTACAGCCAAGCTCTTTTTAAAAATAGATTTTCTTTAATATTTAAGTTCTAATTGGACTTGATTCTTAATCATGCTGCCTCTATTGGCCAGCAAATAATTTCTGCAGTAAATCCAACTGCTTGAGTACAACCCTTTAAATGGCTTACCTGTGGAAGGAAATCACAAGTTCCCATCTCCCTTCATGGCTTGTACAGCTGCTCTAAAGACAGGGCTGGAAAACCATAATCATCTGCTCTCCTATAAATTTGAGGAGGCTGCCCAGTCTTCCTCTCTATTCTTGTTCACATTGTATCAAAAGGAAATGACTTGTAATAGCAGCCCCACTTCCTTATTGCCCAAGGTCCATGCCTGGACTTCTAGAGAAAGGCATCATTTTGCTTGTTGACTAGTATTGCTCCACCGAACCCTGCCACCTTTTGGGTCCTTGTCACTAGTCTACATATTCCCAGACAATTTCTTCCAATGTGAGTGGGAATAAGAGGCTGAAGCTGCAGGCACCTGTAGTGGAGGTATGATACCCAAAATACCCTGAGTCATCACCAGGTGTATTAACGTATATAAAATGTACGGAGGCATGTCCTGCAATGCCTCAATATATTTTTAATGTACTGGAAAAATACTGTCATTTATTTTAAGCAAATGTATTTCTACAAGTGTATATGATTTCTTCCTTTCAGACATTGAATCTGTAGGGGTTTGGCAGGAATATGTATTTTTTCATTCAACCCAGGTCCAGTGGTATATTGTTAGCTCCTTCTCCAGCTGCAGAAGATCCCTAGATTTGCTTGATAAACCAACCACTTGGCAGAGGAAAGGGGAATCTCTGCAACCACATGATGACCTCCCCTTCCTTAATATCTGAAGTTCAGTCCACAGTAATGCTGTGAGAGGTCACAGCTTTTTTCATGTTGAAGAAGTTTATTCAGAATTTCTCTTACTATGTCTTGTGTGAGCTACCCTGCTAGAATTCAAAGGGCAAGGATATTGACAAAGGGATCCTCCTCTTGAATAAAAAGTCTGATTCATTAATCTGGTGTCATGTGTGGCAAATGGAGTAAAGTAAGACACTGCCCATATACCACAGGACACGAAGAACCTATTCCTCCTGCAGGAAGGTGCCAAGAATGACTGAGGTTTGTTCCTTCATCAGCTTTTAAAAAGAAACACCAAATAAGCTCCTCTAGAGTGATAAATTATACATTTCCTTTCCCATCTGGCTTTACAATAGTGGTAGGCAACCCTGACAAGCCAGATGGACCACTAAAAAGAAAAAGAAGAAATCGGGGAAAAAATGGCTTGAAGTCCACTTCCAGGTATGAATAATGGAGGGTGTTTTGGGGAGTTGAACACTGCAGAGGGGCCTGCAGCATGAACAGCTGCCTCTGAAATCTTCCACAAACAGCAGTAAGCTTTCTTGTACCAGGGAGAATCATTTAGGGGGGTGGGATTCTTTGGCAAGACTTTAAAAACAGCTTTGGGGAGGTGCCATAAAGCTCTGGAATCACACTTTGCCCACCCATGATTTATAAGAGGTACCAATACAAGCTACTAGCCCATTCAGCTTCTCTTTGCTGTTTCACTGGATATTAAATGGCCAACATTCAGCAGCAACACACAGGAATTAGGCGTAACAGCAAATAAAAGCTATGTACAATTTATACTATACATATATATTCGCGAAGGCTTTCACGGCTGGGATCTAGTGGTTGTTGTGGGTTTTTCGGGCTCTTTGGCCGTGTTCTGAAGGTTGTTCTCCCTAATGTTTCGCCAGTCTCTGTGGCCGGCATCTTCGGAGGACAGCACTCTGTGCTCTGGATTTACCAGAGGGGAAAGCAGGAGGTAACAGGAAAAGAAGACCAAATATGAGTATACATATTTTGAAACACTGCTGCTTTAAAATAAGCTGTAGAAAAAGAGGAATTTCTATATCACAAGTTATGGATCATAACCTATTCAAACTTTACTGTGGAAATCCTTATCAAATCTAGCTCTGGTGATCAAGGACTAAACATCATAAACACATAGAACAGGCATTGTTACTATAAATAGGCCAGGTTTATTTAGTCAACAGCCATGTAATTTAAACCTGCCTGTCACCAGCCATGTTAACTTGATTTTCCAACTCCATACAACCATCATAGTACAAAATCCACTATCCACAAAGACTACATAAGGCAGAATGAGACTTCTGCTTTTATGCAGCAATTCTTCAGACGACCTTTTCCTTCTCCATTCATATTCTGTCAGGCAGATAGAACCTTCCCCAATAGCAGCCCTTCAGTGTCAAGTCATAAGGGCTCAAGTGTTTTCTTACCCCTAGCATGTTGGCTTTGATAATGCGTTCAAAAGTCCATGGATTCTGGTTGCTGCGCCTCCTCTCCTCCTTAATTTCCCGCATCTCCTGTAGGGATTTCCGGCTGACTGCTTTGGCTTTAAAAGGCAACTTCTTGACGACCTGATTTAGAAAATATTCCACCTGACTAAATTCGCAGTGTCCACCCACTTCAACAAGAAGACGGCCACTCTTCACTGCTGTCACATAGAAGGCTATTGCACCTTTACCACCACCCATGCGATGCCCTAGTCCTTTACGGGTAACGGGCTTATAAGGAGCAGGAATTCTCCACACAGCAAACATGGTCTTGGGATTCAAGTGCCGGTTGATCGTCAAGCGCATCATTTCCATGTGCTCCCAGCGGAGGTAGCCACCATCCAGAGCCTGCAGTCAGGGGAAGACAAGTATGAGTTTTTGCAATTCACAGTACAGGGAGAAAAGTTACGCCTAGACTAATCTCCTGAAGCCAGAAGGGAATAGCTGTCCCCACCCCGTCTCCAACTCCAAATAATGTATTTTAGATTGTATTTGTTTTATATCACTCATAAGCCATAGCAAGCTGTTTCTCACACTCACCATGATACCATATTGTCCTTCAGTGAATTCAGTGGCTTCTAAAGATGGGCCACAGATATCACGTAAATTCTTGGGCTCGCGCCTGGCTTTCGGCACATTTGGAACTTTTTCGAGAAATTTCAGCTTGGGTTTCTCAGGAATTGTGATCCCTAGAATGAACAGAATTGCCAACTTATTTTATATTTCCCACAATCATCTCAAAACTGGTTTGCTTTGATTCTTAAATCTTAGCTGAAGAATTACAAGTGTGCCTTATGACTGACTATATGACTACAAACCCATATAGAACCTGTACTAAAGCCACTACTTTTAAAAAATGCTTGAAGACTCTTAAGTTCTCAGCTACATTCCAGCCATTAAGTGAAATTAAGGCTTGTTACCCTCAAGTACAGCTTGCTTAGCTTCAGCTATAGTTCACCCTAAATTAGATTATACCAAACAGAATGTTTTATGTCACATTCCTTTTCTACAGGGCCCTTCTTTGATTTTAGCTGTAGGGAAGGGGTATAACCAGCAAGATATACAACCTTCCCTAGCAGGTGGGGGATATCTAGAGCAAAGGAGGTGAAAGGGTTTCCTCGGGAGCTTCAATTCCCAAGAAAAAACTGTTGCCTAAAAAATGGCAAATTGTTCTCCAGTAGAATAAGTTTTCCACAATTCTACCTCACCCCGAAGCCTACCTGAGGCCAGAAAAGAATTATTTTCCAAATATTATAGATATCTTTATGGAAAGAATGTTATAAACTAACTGAACTCTCCAAATATGTAGCTGTGTTAGTCTGTCCTCAGCAAGTTGCAAACTTAAATTAGGAAAAAGAAAGGGAAACAAAAGCTTATACTGACATAAATATGTTACTCCTAAAGTGAAAATATTTTGTTTTTCTCTCCACACTTGTTATTTTCCTAGGTAACTGAACATGTTGTTTAAGGAATACAAGGAAGCATATCTGTATAAGAATATATTCAATTCCTAGCAGAAAACTGGAACAAAATCAGTAAGATGCCACTCAAAAGATGTGCATGTCTTGTGCATATGGCTCCACACAGTGCTAATGAAATGGGTGATGCTTCCTGATTCGATAGCACCAGTCATGTCTCTGAGGATAGAGGAAGACTGAAATGAGTTTATTTTCATCCTAACATAAAGAAATTTCAAATATGACACCCCAGCTGTGGATTTTATCCCCCAGAAGACCAACTAGTACCCACTAGACATGGGAGCTTCATATTCATATCCCAGGGGTATAAATATGAAGCACAGCACCAGAGAGAACCAGCTCAGTCCACTCACCAGGCCTGATGAAGTGCATGTGGCCATTGTCAGTAACATCATGTCAATCGCGGAAGTAGCCCAGCTGGCGCCTCCCTGTACTGCTGACCAATCTGGCAAGGAGATGGGATGATGAGTCTCCTTGCTCAGCTGCTGAGTGGTCAGCAGCACTGACGACAGCTGCACAGACCACAGAAAACCTGGTGAGTGGACTGGCCAGTTCTGGGCAGAGGGTCAAAACAGCCCGGCCACCTACCTATTGTGGTGATACTTGTATTCCTCTCCCCTGGGAGATAAATATGAATATCCCATCTCTAGTGGCCACGCTAGCCCCATTGTAGTGCAAAGGTGAAATGTGTCTCTTTGTCAAAGCTTCCATAAACTAGGAATCATAGTTTGACCATACTGTTAAATTCTGTGACCGTGTTGTTTCAATAGGATTAAAACAATGAGCAATTTAAACATGTTGCATTTCAATAACAATGTGTTATTGAATGTTACTCAATGTGTTGATTTTTCTGTAACACAAAAGATATAAATATTTTAAGGATAATAAACAAAAATAGGAAAAATCTAGATTCATTCCCCACTATATATTTTTTCAAATACTATTGCTCAGTCAAAAGATCAGCAGTTCGAATCCACACGGTGGAGTGAGCTCCCGTCGCTTGTCCCAGCTCCTGCCAACCTAGCAGTTTGAAACCATGTAAAAAATGTGAGTAGATGAATACGCACCACCACGGTGGGAAGGTAATGGCGTTCTGTGTCTTGTCGCGCTGGCAACGTGACCATAGAAACTCTACAGACAAACGCTGGCTCTAGGCTTGGAAACAGGGATGAGCACCACGCCTAGTGTCAGACATAACTGGACATTTGTCAAGGGGAACCTTTACTTTTACCTTATCTTGTTCACTACCATATATGTATCATCTGAACAGCTGGTTCTAATCCAGTATTTCTACTTTCTATTAGAAATACCATGAACAACCCCAACTGATAGATGGAGAAAGCCAGCACTGGGAACTTGACACAAAGATTTCACAGCAGAAAGACTGCTTTTAAGTGCAATGTCTTACTGTGTACATTATACTCAAATGTATGTTAAACTGCAAATATATTCTGCGTACAACAAGAACCAAGCAAAAGTAATAAAAGGAATACTGTGGCATTTATTAACAGATTTATTCCAGTAGTATTTTTTTCAGTCTTTAAGGTAAAACATTACTTTTTCTTTTGTTTAACATGTTGAAATGGACTAACACAGATAATCTCTCTGAAATCTTATTGTCCCACACCTGTCAAATATCTAGAACTGAATGTTAATTACTCTTAATATACCTCATTGTGTCCCAATTAAAAATAAAACAAAAGAAATATATTATTTTATTAGTATTCTTTCTTATTCCTAAACTTACCACTGTAATCTGGTGGAATTATAAGTGTCTTCATGCCAGCAGTGAGAATTCTGGTTGTATTGGACCCTAGAAGAAATAGTGAAATGCAATGCTTGGTATTACTGCAAAACAGAAACTAGCTTGCACAGAAACTTTGATAAGGCCATGTTACACTCCAACAGCACGTCCTGAAAAAATTGCCCCTGAAAAAAATGCTTTGTCGATGCTGTTACATGCCATCAAGTCACCCCCAACTTATGGCAGTCCTATGAATGAATGACCTCCAAATTGTCTTGTCCTCAACAGCTATGTGCAACTCTTATAAAATAAAGCCTGTAGCTTCCTTTAGAGAGTTGATCCATCTCTTATTTGGTCTTCATCTTTTCCTGCTGCCTTTCCCAGGACTATTGTCTTTTCTGGAGAATTCTGCCTTCTCATGATATGCCCAAAGAAAGACAGCCTCAGTTTCCACATTTTTGCCTCCAGAGATAATTCAGGTTTGATTTGATCTAGGACCCACTTGTTCTTCTTTCTGGCAGCCCAGGGTACCTGTAAATATGTTATGATCTGTTACATTTTTTATTGGTGACATCATGCTCTGGAAATTAAGGAACCTCTGATAGAGATCTACTGCAGCAAGTTTCAGTGCAATTTTTTTGGGGTCTAGGAACAGCTAAACAAGTTTAATGAACTCACATCACAGAAAAGAAAAACAGGGCTGCCAGTAGTGGAGAGATGCTGCATTACAAGAAAGCTCTAGAAGGGCAGAGAATTAACTTCTGTTTCTACAAGCAATGGAAAGACACCTCCACCCAGGCCTGCAAGTAGGAAAAATACATGGCATACTTCTCTGGGGCACAAAAGGGATCTAGATAATGACACTGCCCTTAAAATAGGATTAGCATGTCGAGATACAGAGGACAGAGCTCCCGAGTCGTTTACAACTCGATGTGTATAAGCTTCAGCACAAACTCGTCCTCATTCATGCATAACACGCTCTACCTGTTGAGTTTCCTTTTTTTCCGTTTCTTTTTTTACATCGGTGTAACCGGCATGAGAGACTCTCCTTCCGTAGCCCGTCCCTGTAAGCAACCTTCTCCTTTTGCGGACAGGACCCCGCCTCTACCTTACAGGCAACAACGGGGAATGGACAGAGGCCCATAAGCGAAGGCAGCCGCCAAACCTCTTTTACTCAGAGGAGCTTAAGTACCATTGCCGCCTTCCCCCGTTAACACCCGCTTCAGTCACAGAAGCTGCGATGCCAGACTTGGCGGCTACAAGAGCGATAGGAGGCGGATTTGCAGAAGCTCCTCATCATCTTCCTGGCTACTCTGGAAATATGACCTCCCCCTCCCACCCCACCCCACCTTTGCGTCCTTTCAGGGGTCCTCCTAACCTGCCGGAGCTCTGCTGAAGACGAACAACGAGCGCCCGACGCACTTCCACATACTGTGGGATTCCCGGCGCTCTGTCAGGGCGAAGAACGAGGCTCTCCCCCACCCCCACGAAACGCAGAGACGAAGGACGACATCCGCCGCCTTAATCCGCCCTGACAGCAGCACTTCCGGCGAGAGGGACGCAGGGAAACAAGGGACGGGAAGGCTTGGTTCCGGGGAGGAAATGGGGCGCCGGTCTTCGGGGTGCGTTTCCTTTGCATCGAGTCCAGTCTGTTCCCGCCGCCATGAGAAGGTGGGGCATATCGGAGAGAAGACCCGTCCCCTGCTTTGATGCGTGTCAGAAGGGAAAAAGCAGCTTTAAGGGCAGGAGTGGGGAAATACATCGTGGGACAGCGCCTGGAATCGCTTCGCGCTCTTTCCTGTGGCTGATTGGCGCGAACAGCAGCCAGAGGGTCTCACCGGCTGCCCCATCTCTGTTCTGACGAGAGCGGTCGGGAGACGGGGTGGTCCCGTGTCGAGACACCCGAACGGGACTTTTGGACAATATTCCCGGGATCTCAACGGGGGGGCTTGAATCGAGACATTGCGCTGGCGGCGAATGAACTGTTTTATCTCTTCCGATTTCAGTGCTCGGTTTTCTTCCCCATCCGTTACATCACCTAACGCCTCCTAATTTTGAAAATAGGATCTGATTTCACGGTGTCCTTCAGATAGCATTTTCACACTAGTATATCGTTTGCCCAATGGATTTTTGGTGGGTAATGGTGGAATTAATTCACTGTTAGTTGCCCAGGTAGCAAAGCAACCTCCAGGTCTTTGATTTCCTCTTCTCTGGAGACGTTTCGGCGGATGTTAATATGTTAGACTGGCTCCTGGAGTTTAGGGAATCTTCTGTGTTCCCCGATCTCTAAAGTGAGCAGGAAGTACTTGGTGGCCTTGATCCTCTTTAGAAGAGGTAGCTCTGTTAGTCTGTGCTAGCCAAGCAAACCAAAAATTAAGAAAGAAACGTTGTGGGACCTTAAAGAGTAACTGCTAAAGCCTAACTATAAGTCCACTACCTCAGACATAAGAGTAGGACTAGTCCATGAAAGCTTACATTAAAATATAGTGATTAGTCTTTAAGGTGCCACAACATTTTTGTTTTATTTTATTTTTTAAATTTTTACTTTATTTGTGGGTGAAACTGGAGAAGCATGGGAAGAGATCAGAGTCATCTTTATACTTGCACAAATCCCTTGGAACTCCCAGCCAAGAGAGGTTTGCTTTACAACAATTTCATTCTCTTTTGGCCCATTAAAAAACTTTGGTGTATGTGAGAGCTGTCCATTGCAGTTTGTTGTCTGCTGATTTGTCCATGTATTATTAGCACTCCTGAGTTAAAAGTGGTTCTCTTGCTGGCCTGCCCTTCTATGTATATTTTAAACCAGAAGCATTGGTTTCCCTTTGGCTCCTAAAGTTTAAGAAGTCCTTGTACTGTTTGTCACAAACTCTTAAGACCATTCCATTCTGGCAGTTCTTTATGTTGGTACATAGGGACTGATATAAATTTGGTAGTTATTTTCAAGATACATTAAGTGTATTAGGTGTTCTGATGGTGTTGGAATAACTTAGATTTAAGCTGTGTTATAAGTGTAAGTTGAAAGCTAAAGGGGTAAATACATAGACAAAATAGTGAAGAAGAAGAAGAAGAAGAAGAAGAAGAAGAAGAAGAAGAAGAAGAAGAAGAAGAAGAAGAAGAAGAATGAGTTTCAGCACTTTACTGAAACCACTTTCAGCACTTTACTGAAACCGGTGCTTAGTCATAAAAGAATCTGGAGTATATGGCACATTTCAGTCCAGCAACTTTTTATAGTTACCTTAATTGCTTGATTTTATTGTTCACTTTTGTTAGCTACAAGATACTGTATATACAATCTCAAATGCTACTGCATTTTATCTACTACATTTCTTTAGCCCAGGGGTTTAGTACAGAAATTTCTGTGTATTTGTCCTTCTTCCTTGGAGAGCTGGTTCCTCAGTATTTACTAAAGATGGCCACAATGTTTTCATTATTTGAAGGCTTGTAGCTGCCAACACCTAAAAATACAAAGAAGAGATGATGCAAAGTAAGTAACATCCTACAGACTGGATTTGCTTTTCAGTTACCGTGTTTCCCCCAAAATAAGACAGGGTCTTGTATTAATTTTTGCTGCAGAAAACGCATTCGGGCTTATTTTCAGGGGATTTTTTTTCATGTAGAACAATCTACATTCAAAACAATCATTTCCTCTTTGGGTTGCTGCGCAATGGTGGAGAGTGGGGCTTCACTTAACGGGCTTATTTTGGGGGTAGGGCTTATATTACGAGCATCCTGAAAAACCATACTAGGGCTTATTTTCAGGTTATGTCATTTTCGGGGAAACAGGGTAATGCAGATGTAATTATCAGTTTTAAATTAGATCCGTCCTGAGCTACAACATGTCTCAGTCTAATGCTGGATGTGTACTCATGTGTAGCTGAAAGATCAGAAACAGACACCCTATCACTGCATAACATTTGCATAATTATATTATTCCACTTCTCCTTCCTCCCAGACTTTGAGGTATGCTTTGTATGTGTCCTTTTACAACTTTTTCGATGTTGCCTTGCTGTTGTACCCCTTCAACCCTATTCCTTTGGAACCTCAATCTACGAATCTATGCTCATTGTACGAGGGTGCTGCCTCCCTCACATCCTCCTGTGTACTGAGTCCATCAATCAAAGCAACTTTCAGTCTTCTTGCCTTATGCCTTAACTCATCCAATTCCCAATTTAATAGATAAAATCCACATATTAAGTGCCCTTTGTTCCTTGTCACTTTCGACTTGTGGGCCTGAATAGTGCAGGCATAGCTCTTCTATTTTTACTATTTTTTTTCACTTCTCTTGTAACGTATCTCAGTAATGACCAAACAGAACAAAGAGAGGAGGCAGTGAAGTAACATATTCCTTATGACTGCTAACAGCTATTTTGCATATCCCCTGGCTCAAAGATTTTTGGCAAGGCATTCTACCTTGATCAAGAGGTTTATTCCCACTTAAAAATTGCCAGTAGGTCTTCTCATTCTCGTCTGCTTTAATGTCATTGATGGAGATAACCATGGGTCCCCAGCAGGTTTCCTTAGTTTTAAAGCTGTAAGATTTAAGTCATAAAACATTAATAAGAGGGGATGATGGTTCAAGGAAAAAGGAAGTGAAAGATAATATTTAAAGGTGGCTGAAACAACACAAACAATTGAACAGGGAAGGGAAAAGAAAACATCAAGAAAGTTACAGAAATGAGGGATATCATGTGCCTCAATTTAAAAATGGCATTTAAAACCTTCCTCCAGTTATGACGTGGATTAAAAAGGGAGTGGGGGAAATGAATATTTTGGTGGTTATTTTATGACAACATCTAGACCAATAAATAAAATAAATTTGACATGTTCACAATATTGTATCCTGTACTTTATGATTTCTCTGAAATGGTAGGATTCCTTATCTGGTTCTACTACTGTATTTGTGACTCCCTCATTTACCTGAATTCTCTTGGTTCATCACGTTTTGCTGCTTCCAGGACATCAAGCAGTACAGAGCAGGGTGGCACATCTACTATGATGCTATGTTCAAAGTAGAGTCCTATCAAGTGATTGATTATGGTGTAATTTACTCTAATGGGGTTAACTGCACAAAAAGAGAGAAGGTGGATAAGTTAATTCATTATGTCTTTCCTTCCTAAGGACAGTCATGTACTCCCCATGAGCCAAAATATAGTGATGAAATTGTGTGGAGGATTTTATTGTGGATCTATTGGTGCACCTCTTTATAAAAATAAAGGAAAACTAAAAGGGAAACTTCCAGGCTGCATTAGAATTTGCTTGCACATGTCATAAGGCTTTACCAATCACTGGCTGAAATGCTGTTGTGCAGTTACACAAATGGCATAACTTTTAGGAAAAATTGCCATAGGTTAAGGAATCATTAAGGAATCTTAATGAGGGTGAAAGAGGAGAGCACAAAAATGGTCTGAAGCTCAACATAAAAAAAACACAACCTTAAGATCATGGCCATTGGTCCCATCACCTCCTGGCAAATAGAAGGGAAAGATATGGAGGCAGTGACAGATTTTACTTTCTTGGGCTCCATGATCGCTGCAGATGGTGACAGCAGCCATGAAATTAAAGGACACCTGCTTCTTGGGAGGAAAGTGGTGACAAACCTAGACAACATCTTAAAAAGCAGAGACATCAACTTGCCGATGAATGTCCGCATAGTCAAAGCTATGGTTTTTCCAGTAGCAATGTATGGAAGTGAGAGCTGGATCATCAAGAAGGCTGACCACCGAAAAATTGATGCTTTTGTGGTGCTGGAGGAGACTCTTGGGAGTCCCCTGGACTGCAAAGAAAACAAACCTAGCCATTTTGAAGGAAATCAACCCTGAGTGCTCACTGGAATGACAGATCCTGACGCTGAGACTCCAACATTTTGGCAATTTCATGAAAAGAGAAGACTCTCCGGAAAAGACCTTGATGTTGGGAAAGAGGGCCTGGCATGCTTTGGTCCATGGGGTCACAAAGAGTCGGACACGACTTAACAACTAAACAACAAGGAATCCACAGACATTATCTCTTGTATTCTGAGTCACATGATTTAACATGCATATGGAGCGTTCTTAGTTTACATCAATTCACATCTAAAAGTTACACATTTGCATAACTGCACACCAGAATTTCAGCCTAGAAATGTAGCAAATGGCCCTTTCATCCACATGGCAAGACTCTTGCCAGTAGAACACAGCAAATCTTGTAGTCTACAAATCAAATACTGTATTTTGAAGCATCCCACTGCACCAATCAGTTGTGTAGTTTGCAAAAATGCAAGTGCATGGAACTCGCTCTGAAAGATGGAAATACAGACGTTGGGAATATAGTTATCACTGTTCCTTTTCAGAAAAAAAAACCACCTGTGTCTTCAAGTAGTTTCTTGACAAACAGTCATTAGAGCCTCGTGGCGCAGTGGTTAAAACGCTGTACTGCAGCTAAAACTGTGCTCACGACCTGGGTTGACTCAGCCTTCCATCCTTCCGAGGTCGGTAAAATGAGTACCCAGCTTGCTGGGGGGGCAATGTGTAGCCTGTATAATTAAAAATTGTAAACCGCCCAGAGAGTGCTTGTAGCGCTATGGGGCGGTATATAAGTCAAATAAATAAATAAATAGATGGAGCTTTCCCTCATAGTATGGAGGTGATTCACTGCTGGGGAAATGTGAATTTATCATGTGGCACTTAAAGGTGTAGGAGATCTAGAAAAATGAAGAGATGATAGTGCTTAACCTTGTCACACCAGCCTGAAAAGGCTGTGTTAGAACATAGAAAACATATATACAGTATTTGGAATTTCAGCATTTGAGATTTAGGCAAAACCTATTTTTTGGCAAAAAGAAAAAACCAAAAAATTTGAATTTTAGGCTTTGCATAAATCATGATATATGAAGTTGCCCAAATACTCTAAGAACATAATATTGCTGCTCTTGTGTTACTCCAGAGAAGAGAGGAATTGCCTGCTATTATTCCTCTGAGGAAGCATCATGAAGGCCTACACTACCTGGAAGGCATTGAAGATTCTTCACATCCAAGTACGTTTTGCCCACTAGAGATGGCAGGATCTGGGAAATAGCATTAGGGTTATTGAAGGCTCCCAGGTAGGCCTCTTGCAGCGCCTTGTTCAGTGTCTTGGTGCAGTTCCATCTGTCTTGGGACCAGAACTGAGAAGTAACACTGAGGGCCTGGAAAGCAGCACAGGAGGGAAATTTGCCTCAGAGGGAATGACAGTGGGCCACAGAGAGCTGAGACTCCTTTGGATCCCTATGAATGAACAGAGTAGGTAAGCACATACCTGGATTGCTAGGCCAGTGCTATAGATGTTTCCAATAATGCCATTTTCCTGCTGCTTCTCAAGGATGTGATCTATGAGCAATTTCAGGACCTTCGGAATCTTTTCTCTAAGATTATTTGAGGACGGGTCATCGTACACACAGACCAGTGCCAAACTGACCATGGCTGCTGTATCTGCAAATCACATAATGCCGTTATCACCACCACCACCACCACCACAGTAAATGGGGAATGCAAGAGCAGTATCTTTTTCTGGTGCTCCATGCAGCAAAGCATAACCCAGAGAATGAAAGATTAGTCATGCTTCACCAAATTAGGTGACTTGGATGAGGCCTACAATATGGGTTTTGGCAAAGAAGGGTCTAGAAAAAAGGAGCCTGAGAGAAACAAGCTATATTGTACTGTGCAACTTATTTTACAGGCTATGGCCAGGATCCAGTTAAGTTTCTATTGAGTGGGAGAAGTCCTGTCAGCATAGCAATATGGGGCCACACTGCTTGCACAAGAATGAACTCTATGAAAAGACCACACCTTCTCCTCACGTAGGTGACACAGATCCCACATTGCTATGCTGACTGGCTTCTTTGTTCAGGGGATAAGAGTCTCTGCGACTAAATCACTGTCTTTCTGCCCAGTGTGCTTCACAGGATTATAGTGAGGCCAGAGATGTAGGGGTGAGGAGGGTGACAAGAAGGAGGAAATGAAAATGGCACCTCAAATAAGGCATATAATCCAGGTATCGCTCTCTTACCTACAGAGAAATCCTCCCTCAGTTGGAGGTCATTTGCTGCCTTGACAAGGATGCCAGCAACGTTTTCAATATCTGGGCTTTCCTCAAAACACAGGGCCAGAGCATCCAGTGCCAATTGGTAGAACGTTGTCTTGGGACTCCTTTTCTTATCTGCAATACAATCAATTCATTGTCAGTTGTTCCAGAAGTAGGAAAAGTTGCTCTGAGTAATTTCTGGGACTGTAGGAGCTGTAATTCACACAAGGGTTGTTAGGAAAATCTTGAGTTTTCCCCTCCTCCTTCCTGAGAAAAGAGACAGTTTTCTGCCAGCAGAGGGCAAGGGATGCCCCCCCCCCGCCCTCCAGGTTACTGCAATCAAAGGAGGGAAAGGTCAGCGGGCTACAGATTTAATCTGCACACAGGCTGGTAGTGCTGATTACAATTTAACTGGCTTGGGTTTGGGTGAGGGAAGGGGATTGAAAACTGTCTTTGAATTATGGATTCAACCTGGTTCAGAAGGCACTGGCAGTGTGTATCAGCACCGGTCCAGATTTTTGTTAATGTCAGAAGAGCAGGGTTGCAGGATTACATCCAAAGAAAAGATGCAGGCTAAGGGATGATTTGTGTGGTTGCCAACAGCAGCCACCAGGGTGGGGACTGTGCCTAGCCATGTTGTTATCTGCAGTAAGCCCCAATTAGTTCCACCCTGTTGCTGCAAAAACCAGAGCAGCTAAAAAGATAGTGGCTTTCTTTTAGATAAAAGGGTTGCTTCTTTTCATTGCTTTTGTGTCCGGTCCACAGCCCAGTGCCAGTCCGTGGTATAAAAGGGTTGCTTCTTTTCACTGCTTTTGTGTCCGGTCCACAGCCCAGTACCAGTCCGTGGACTGAGCCAGACCAGGCTGCAAAGACAGACCTTCCGCCCCCCCTGCATGCACTCACCCCCATAAAGACTGTTTGCGCCTGCATGCTCACTCATGCACATAAACGAATGATGGCGCAGCACTTATGCAGGTGCTCATGTGCATGCACAAATGCCACCACTGCTGTTCGTGCATGCGCATGAGTGAGCACATGCCCGCACAAGTGCCATGTCACCATTCATGCATGCGCAGGAGCGGGGTGGTGGTTGTGGTGCCCCGCCTTCATACTAACAGTTATGCCAGATCTGTTGTTTTAATGGATTTTATTTGTGACTTTATAGGTTCTCCCCTTCCTTGGGTAGAACAATGGTAGTTAGCGTCTTTAGCTTAGAAGAATCTGAACATTTCCCAACCTATGAGTGTATACCTTATAGACCTAAAGCCCAAGTCTTAGTTCATGACATTCCCAGTCAAAACACTTCCAAAAAGTAGAGCTGGGAAATAATCTTTCACCTGCTGTTCTGAGTTTACAATGTTACTAGTACAGCAGTAACCGGACAGTATGGATTGTCATGAGATTGAAGGAGAGTGGGACTTGTAGTCAATGAGCATGAAAGAAAATTGAGTCTGTTAGGTGTTAAAAGTGAAGGGGGGTTGAAGCCATGGGAATGTAAGAAAGGCAGAGAGGCTGTTTTTCTTAATTTACAGCCAGGCTGGTACAGAGTAAAACCTGATAAGAATGGAAGGACAAAAGGGCCCCAGTGCGAAGACCCAACAGATTCCTTTCTAATTGGAATGGAGATAACCCACCTGCATCTCCACGAGAATTGGGGGCGGAGTGGACAGTGTCGCCTCTTTGAGTTAATTGGTTTACAGTCATGAAGAAGGAGGTCCAAGGAATGTAGAAAAATGGAAGATGGGTTATGTTGAAGAGAGACCACATTGTGGAAGAGAACTTTTGCCTGAGAGAAGTTCTTGATGGTTTGTGTTATGTAGATTGAAGGAAAAGAATGTAGGTAAGAAAAGAGGGAGGTCGGGCTAGCCCACCTTAGCCCAGTGTTTAGTGTTTATTATTTTAATGGGAATTAGTTGTTGTATTTAACTATGGCAACCCTTTGAATATGTCTTTATGCTAATGCTTGAGCAAAAACAAACTGTTTCTATGAAACTATATTTTCTTAATAAAAATAATTATAAAAATCCTTACTGGGGACTAGTCTCTTGGATCAGCAGGGTTTGGCTAAATCCAGAGAAGTGGTAAAGGCCATTGACTAGCTACCATAGAGAAGTCCTTTTTAACTGAGCTGCTGTGAGTTCTAAGGAATCACAAAGCCCATGTTGCAGTACTTACAAAGTGCTGAGTGAAGTAAAGTGTCCCTTAAAGGTCAAGCTTGTAGTAACAATGGGCATGAGCAACAGAAACTCCAGCTCAAAAAGTGACACTGGCTGCAGAAAACCATATAAAGATTGAGTGTGATTTTTCAGTTGTTCTATACTCTCCTGAATGGACAAAATGGGTATTATCCTTATGCTATTTTGTGAGCAGGAACACATCTAGTGTCTTTTGTAGAAGCATTTCTGAAGGAGATGGATATATCAAAGCCATGTAACTGAGAATCTCACCGCCAAGGGATTGAAAGAGTACATGCAGCATCAGACTGAACTGCTAGCTGTCAAGGTTGTTCCTTGATATCATACAGTAGGAAGGATGGAAGGAATTCAATGCACATTTGTTATCTTACAAGATTCAGTCTCTTCACGAGTTTTATCCTCCAGAATTTGAACCAAGTTGATCTTCCCATTTGGTGTAACAACTTCTCTAGGATTCTCACAGGAGGATCGAAGAGCTAAGACATAAAGGGCTACTTTGCCTGAGGTCATCTCTGCAGGAAGAGACAGGGAATGGGGAATAGACGTCATGAAAGTGCATAAATCTTTGCTCAATATATTTTGCTACCTGAGATGGAGCAGCAAATTATGTCCTTCATCCACTAAGTTATTTTGACATACGAGACAGAAAAATCTCACCAGCATTTCTCCCTGTGACAAAACCCATTTAAAAATACTGTAAATGGGAGAAAAAACTGAAACAGAACAAGACACCCAGTCATGAAAGATTCACATGCTCACAGTGATTAAGAGATCAGCACTTACATACAATTAGATATATTATGAGAGCCAATGGCAGATGAGTTCATTTCTATTGGCTTGTTTTTCTCTATTAGTAAAATGTTTCAGAAACTGAAAATATTAAGGAGTATCTGTTTTCTTGTTTCATAAATTTCCATACCACTGGCTTAGTACTGGGCACTACTCTAAGCAGTTAACAAACAGAATAGAAAACAATAAAATAAGAGCAAATCAAAATCCATCCAGCCCCCACACACATTACGCACCAATAAATCATATACCAACAGGCCATTTGTGCCCATTTACACCTAGGTGCGTATCTTTTGCAGATGCTGCCTACACATGAAAAAAAAACTTTTTATTTCGGAGCTCCTACCTTGTGCAGCTGTATCTTTGATCTGCTGGAGAAGCTGTCCTGGCACACATACATCTTGGTTCTTTGCCAGATTCAAAGCAATCAGGGCACTAGGATCGGGGGAGCACAGATGATTAATGGAGTTCATCAGTTGATTCTCAAGTCCGGTAACCAACCATTGCTGGCCACTGGGAACAACTGGAACCAAGGAAACAGGTTTTTCAAGAAAGATCCATGTCCTAGGCTTACAATTTATTTTGCTAATTTTTAGAACTCTGAGATCCTGCTGGTGACGCCTGGTGCAAAATACATGCTGAGAATGAAATAATGCTAAGACCAATAATTTGTTTAGAACACAAGATCTGAATGGATCTGGTATTTAATTGTTCTGCCCCCAAATTGAGACCTGGTTGCCCTAGGCTTTTTTCATTCAGCAGTGTGAGTTGCTTCTCTTAGGTAGCCGAATATGAGGCATTAAAAAACAACTGCAGCACAGAAACATGGAGAATTGAGCTCAGTCTCAGCAAACCAGCTCTTGCCCTTTTGGTCTCTTTTCCACACAAACTAGCGCTTTGTGTGTGGCCGATGCCATCACACATTCCTTGCCTAGGGAACTGGGAGTGAGAAAGCATTCTGGAGAGGCCCAGGGTCTGCTGCTGTCCATTCTTGAGCCCATGAGGGGGAGAATGGCAGCTGCAACAGTGGCAGCTATGCAGATGGCAATGACACTGAGGGGGAAGGATCACATCCTCTGCAGGAGGGTCTGTCAAGGATTGGGCCCCAGTATCATTGACATGTGGAATTTCAATATGTCCCCTGCTGTAAAAGTTTGAGGCTCTCCACTCAAAACTTACCCACATTTATTTTGGCTTGGGCAGCAGGGCTACATGGGGTGCACCTACATAACTTAGAGGGAAAATATTTAATACTCACTGCAAGTCTGAGAGGAAAGGGATGCTGCACTGGTCACTGGGCGTAACAGGCACAGAAAGATGACAGCCAACGAGAACATTCTGGACTGGAGCAGATGTCTCTCTCTCTCTTTGGGCTACCTTCCTCGATAACTCGGAGAACCCAAAGCCTGCCTGGACTTCCTTTATATATAACCTTACGCGACAGTTCTGTTCACTTCCCTACCAGCCTTTCATGTCACCGGTGCCACCTCACCTCTAGCAATGTTGACTTTAAATTGTTTATCTTAGTTTTCACAACTATAACCCTTCTTTTTGTAAGGGTGATGCTAGAGAGCAAAGACTTCCCGTGAAGAAGATGAGGGTGCTTCTATGCACCATGGGCAATTCTTTCACATGGCCTATGGTAAAATAAGGCCTTTTATGTAGTGCATGAATACAATTTGCAGAGTCCAAAAAGGGGTGTGTTTGAGGAAAAGAAGATATCCTGGAGGTGACTGGGGTTAAATCCAGCTATATTATTCCAACCAGTGTTTCTCAACCAGCTATTTTCCTTAGAAAGAAATAATAATGCACTGCAACTTTATCCCGAAGACTGAAATTGAGTCATGACAACTGGACTTCTTATTAGGTTGAAACATTTTGCTACTCATCCAAGTAGCTTCTTCAGTCTGAGGGGAGTTGGTAGGAGACCCCCCTCCATATGTCCTCCACTCCACTTTGGTTTCACATCCCCCTGGTCTGAATAGGCTTGTTAGAAGGACAAAGAGTGGGAGAGGGTGAGTGAAAATCCCACTTTTGCAGTCCTTCTCCACCCATTGTCATGAGTCCTTAACAGTGGTCTTTCTGGTGGGTGTGGTCCTGACCTTTCTGGGGAGGGATGAAAGGGCAGCATGAGAAATAGGAGACAGATTGAATCTAAGGCCTCCACATGAGGGATTTTCTATGTGTACATGTATGGCCTCCCTGACCCCTCTCTCAAACCACCTATCTTCTCTGTCTAAAATGAGTACATCTTGGTCATCAAATGAGTGTCCTTTGTCCTTCAAATGAAGGAACACTGCTGATCGTGGTCCTGAGCCATTGCTCCTCCTGTGCTGGGCCATTCTCCTGTTTAGTGGCTGCTTGATTTCTCCAATGTAGAGCTCTGAACACTCCTCTTTGCATTGGACCACATCTACTATATTGCTCCTCCGGTGTTTTGGTGTCCAGTCTTTTGGGTAGGTGAGTCTCTGCTTTAATGTGTTTGAGGGTTTGAACTGCACAGGTATGTGGTATTTACCAAAAATCCTTTTTGAATTTTTCAGACACACCTCCCATGTAAGGAGTTACCAGGTTCTTCAGTTGGCTCTGGGCCTTGGACTGTTCCATTGTTCTTCTAGGCCATTCTAGAGACATTGCCTTGTTAAAGGCCCAAAAGAGGAGCAGGATCTGTTCTTGATCATCCCAGAGCACAGGACACGCAACAATGGGCTCAAGTTACAGGAAGACAGATTTTGGCGGAATATCAGGAAAATCTTCCAAACTGTTACAACAGTATGACAATGGAACCAATCACCTCTGGAGGCAGTGACTGCTGCAATGATGGAGGCATTGAAGAGAAAATTGGACAACCATCTGTCAGATCTACTTTGATTTGGATTCCTACACTGAGCAGGGGATTGGACTGAATGGCCTTATAGGCCCAACTGAACTATTATTATGATTCTATGAGACTGGGGCACATGCAATGGGGTGGGGTTGGCATGGAAAAGAAGAGGGGCTGATGGGGCAAGGTTGTGGCATCTGTGGGTTGTGTTGTGCCAGTTACTTTGAGAAATGAAAGGAGGTGGAGGAGGGTTGGGGAAGAAAGAACCCGGTTGGGAGAGTAGGGTGGGGAGTAGGTGGGCTGACATAATAAATGGATACATATCTGTTGCTTTGTACTTTGGGTGAATGGTGTGTGTGTGGTGGGGGATATAGTTTATGGAAATGAACTACCAAGATGCACAGAAATGAAAAAGTTGGGAACCATTGGTTTAGAAGAATTCTCAGATTATTATCAATCACAGTTCTGTCACTTATTTTAGGTGTTTTAGCTTATCCACTACATATTATGAAAGCTTATGTGTCCCCAATGAACAGGAGAGAGAAAAAACCTCAGTAGGATAGGAAATCCACACTTACTCTGCAATCTGACTTCTCTCTGTGATAACAAACAACCTGTGTACTGACATAACTTTAAAAAACTTACAGCAATATTTCCCTTCTTTAACATAAGAATTATTCTGAAAACCATCCAAGCATTCCTTGTGGTTTATTAAACTTGCATCTCAAGTAATAAATAACTGCATCTGTCTCCCACACTTCCACTGAATGTTATCTACATGTGTTCCTTGATTATTAATTTAGCAAAGGAGGGGTTTATAGCAATGTATACTTTCATACTGAGTTTGGGACTGATAACAATGGCAAAAGATGTATCTCGCCGTAAGTTAGTTTGTAGTGGGTTAGGTACTGTACCTACAAGTACAGGAGGTTTAGGTATTTAAGGGGCATATTGCTATGTTGTATCATCTGCCTAAAAACTAGGTGTATGAAACATTGGAGAGAATCTGTTAACATAGGCACTGTAAAAAAACCAAAACAAAAGCTGTTTCCTGGAGTTGGTGAACTTACCCAGTGGTGAACATGCAAAGGATAAAACATATTTCAACATTTTAGATTATTTACACTGATAAGGGGGAAGCCACATGTCCATTTTGAGCCTATTTACAGACATTTTTCTCTTATTTCTGTAGTTTCATCAACTGGAAAGCACTCTTTGAAAATTACTATTTAACTGTTGATCCAGTGAGTGTTAAAACCAATGCCTGCCACAAGATGATCATAATATGGCAACTGCCCATCTTGCATTATTCCCTGTGGCTGGAATTCAGATCTCATGAGTCAATTTTTTGCCTTCCCCCACCTCTTCAATTGCTAAGTAAAGGTTGGCCAACTTCCCTTTCATGGCTCTGATGGCCAACCCCCTCTCCTCTGACTCCAGTCAACAATAAATTAGTGGAGCTCCTATATTCCTAGCCCAGGCATCTGATATCCTTCATCCACTACCTCAAGGCTTCCCAACTGTGTTTTCCCATTTTTTTCCAAAGATAAATCATGGTTTTGAATGGCTTGGGTGAGTTAACAGTTGACAGAGAATGAACATTTCAAGTGATCGGAGCAACAGCCTGGATACAGTTCGGCTTATAGTCTACCATGAAAAACCAACGGATGATGGAAAAATAGAGTCCATCATAAACAAGTTCACGGAGAGGATCTGTTCTCTACTCATGCCCCAAGTGTTAATAGACAAGTAACTGCAATCTCTTTAATTATTTAGTTATTTTATTTTAGAAAACTATTTCAAATAATTATTTTTCTATTTTCCTAGGAATGATATGCCAAAAACAAAGTGACAAGGCCAAACAAACTATGTAGAGTGGTCATTTCCCTCCTAGGCTGGACTGACATTTCAAGTCCAAGTAACTACACACTTACCACTGTTCCCTGGCAGTTTCATTGTTCTCTGTTGACTCTCAGTCTCCATTGCCTCTTGACAATCACTCTGGAATTGTCGCCTAGACACCCATACATTGTTTTAATATCACTGCCTCGCTACACTAGAGACGACTCACTGCATGTGAAAAGGAGCTTCCCTAATACTGCTCTCCTAGTAATCCCTCTTTTTGTCAATCTACATGTGAAAGGGGCTGTCTTGAACCCTTTCCAGCACCTGATTCCTTAGTATGGCATCAATTAATGGAAAAATAGTGATGTAGTGATGTACGGAAGTGAGAGCTGGACCATAAGGCAGGCTGACCGCCGAAGAATTGATGCTTTTGAATTGTGGTGCTGGAGGAGACTCGTGAGAGTCCCCTGGATTACAAGGAGAACAAACCTATCCATTCTAAAGGAAATCAAGCCTGAGTACTCCCTGGAAGGACAGATCCTGAAACTGAGGCTCCAATACTTCGGCCATCTCATGAGAAGAGAAGACTCCCTGGAAAAGACCCTGATGTTAGGAAAGTGTGTGGGCAAGAGGAGAAGGGGACAACAGAGGATGAGATGGTTGGATAGTGTTATTGAAACGACCAACATGAATTTGACACAACTCCGGGAGGCAGTGAAAGATAGGAGGGCCTGGCGTGCTGTGGCCCACCGGGTCACGAAGAGTCAGACACGACTAAACGACTAAACAGCAATAGAAAAATAAGTGCAAAGCCATCTGGTCAAAGGAGGCCCTACTCTTCCATTCCCCTTGTCAGTAGGGTGACCTTTTGTTTCCCTTGTGTAATGAGGCACAGATGTCTTTTAACAATTACTAAGATTCATTGTGGTATTTATGCCCAATTAGTTTTGCCCAGCTCAATTTACTACTCAGGATATCTCAGCGCAGAGCCATGTGTACTTGATTAAAGGCAATACAACACATAGAAGTGGCATAATACCATTGTCTACAGCAGGCACTTGTAAGTTGTTTTGTGTTTAAAATTGCAGGACTTTTTTTTTTTAACCATGTGGATAATAATCTGCTTTGGAAAGAAAGGATAAGCAAACATCTCCCAAATAAATACCTATTTTCTATTTCTATAAGAGCACTAGCCAATCACTTCATAGAATACAGCAGTGTCCTACAGTCACAGTCTCTGCCCTAAGTTCCTGTGACAGATGGCATGACAAGACAGAAGGACTGGGAGGTAGGCAGATATGAAGAGAACTTGTGAGCCCAGGGAAAGCAAACTGGCTGCACACATACAAGTCAGGTGAGACCTGGATAGACCAGGAAAGCCTTCCTATAAAGGCAAATCTTCCAGCTGATGCCACTGCACTTGCTGGACCCCTCTTTTCTGGCACCTTAAGGGACACCAATAAGCTGTTACTGAAACTGGCTCTACTTGGAGCAGCTCTACATGGCTCCAGATAGCCCAAGGGGCGATCAGAATGGAACCCCCTGCTGCTTCTGGCATTTACCAGGAGTGTTGCGGCTGCCCATGTCACCCTCTTCCGTCCGCCTACCTGCCTGCTTCTCTGACAAAAATAGATGAAAGAAGTAATTCCCCAGCATATGTGAACAATGGAGTGTGTGGGGTGGCGTCAAGAGGTGGTATGGTACAGGCCCCTTCAGACTTGGGAATGTCTCTATATTAAGCACTCAGGAAGAAACTGTTTGAAGATGGGAAAGAGAGAGAGAGATGGGGGGAAAGGGGGAGAAGGGGCGACCCAAGGAGGTTTAACAAAGCAGTCACACAAAGAACCCAGCATATCCTCTTGTTGTGCCTTTAATAACTCTTTCATTCATAGAGATTCTTAGCAGCTGAAGCATTTGAGGGCAAGGAAACAAATACTATCCCCAGGTAATTGCTTGAGATCCAACAGGTGCTGAAGGAGACAATTTAAAAATCTAATAGGAGGGAAGGTGAGATTGTACAAAACAGAGGGAAGGAAAAAGGAGAACAAAGAGGATATGCAGAACCATGAAGTTGATGGGAAGCATGATGGGAAGCATGATGGGGTGCAGGAATAAAGGCTGGAGGGGATGGAGATGATCACTGGTATTCAGAGACATGGATGACGGTTCTTAAAACAGCCAACAGAGTGTCCCTAAAAATAAAGAAAATTTGGGAACCTTGCATCCCAGTGACATGAAGGTGCTACAATACAATGGCCATGCCCAGGGGTTTCCTACTTACCACAGCCCAGGCAGCATGGACTTTGGATGAAAAGCAGGAACAGGATTCCCACCAGAGACCTCATCTTCTTGGTTCAGACACACGTCTTGCCCTCCCCGGTTGCTCTTGGGGTGTGAGCAGCACAGCCAAGCCCTTGGCACCGATGACAGGAGTGGATGCTTCCTCCTTTCCCCTGCTATTTCCTCATAGCACAGGGTGATTGAACCACCCCAAGTGGTTTGGACATGAGTCGCTGCTCTACAGGAAACTACAGATTGACACAATCATGAGTGTAAGCTTTGTTTTTCGCATACGAGAGGCAATTGAAAGATTTTTTTCTAACCTGCCCATTGCTCATATATGTTTGTTTTTCGCATATGAGAGGCAATTGATTTTTTCTAACCTGCCCATTGCTCATATATGTGTGTATATATTTGTATTTTCAAGGGATTTTAAAATATGGCCAGTTGATGGCATACAGAAGGGCATGTCTGCACTATACAGTTATAATAGGTTTATATCATTCTATTATGCTATGGCTGAACTTTGTGGAATCCTGGGGTTTGCAATTTGACAAACTACTTGAAATTCTTCGCTAGACAGTTCTTGCACGATAGCTCAGAAGGCGAGAGAACTCCCCTGCCAAAAAATTCTAAATGCTTTATTTAGACATGTCCCAGGATTCCTCAGGTCAGAACCATTGTAATTATGATTACAGAACAGCAGCTGGACCAGTTGTGCACTTTCTCAAGTTAGCAATCCAAGAGCAAATGATGGCCATAACAATAGGACAGCAGTGGACTATTCAGTTGGTAGAGCAGGGTGGGCAGAGAATCATAAGAGTTGGAATAGGCTTAGAAGGCCATCGAGTCCAACCTCCCTGCTCAGTGCAGGAATCCAAATCAAAGTAGATCTGACAGATGGTTGTCTGGCTTTCTCTTGAATGCCTTCAGTATTGGAGCACTCGCTATTTCCTGAAATAATAGCTCCATTGTTGTACTGCTTTAACAGGAAGTTTTTTTGTGACATTAAACTGAAATCTGACTTCTTGTAACTTGAGCTACCTCCTGAGATAATAGCTCCATCCTTGTACTGCTTTAATAGGAAGTTTTTTGATATTAAACTGAAATCTGGCTTCTTGTAACTTGAGCCTATTGTTGTGTGTACAGTACTCTGGGGTGATGGAGAAAAGATCCTGCCCCTCTTTTGTATAGCAATCTTTCAAATATATGAAAAATACTATTGGCAATCTTTCAAATATATGAAAAATACTATCATATCTCTCCTACCCCCAGTCTTCTTTTCTCAAAACTGAACATGTCCAGTTCTTTTACTCTTTCCTCATAGACCTAGATTTCCAATCCCTTGATCATCCTTTCTGCCCTCCTCTGATCTTGTTCCAGTTTGTTGGCCTCCTTCTTAAAGTACTTTAAGAAGGAGGCCAACAAATTGTATCCCTTCAGCTGTTCTTAGACTATAGCTCCCAGAATGCCTCCATGTGGTTTATGCTCCGCCTGCAGCTAGACCTGCTGGAAGTTGTAGCCCAATAACTGCTGGAGGGGCACATTTCCTCACTCCTGAGGTCAGAAATGAGACCCTCATCTGACCTCTCCCCAGAACTGCTTCATTCACAAAGCAACTGGTCTACCTGATATAGTAGGGAGAGAAAAGGCAAAATGGTTCTCCATGTGAGAGGTATTTTCTTTTAGCCCCAGTAATTAAAAATAATCCAATCTTTCTGGTTCTTCAATATGCAGATAGGAATTGATGCTCCAGCTATCTCCCCCTGTTCCAGTTTGGTGGAGAAAAGATACACTAGGAGTAAGGATACTTCCATTATTGTATTCAAACAGCTCAGAGGAAACCCATTTTTAAGAATAGAATAATGTTTCAATGCATGATCATGGTTTGCTGTTTCAATGCAGGGTTCTAAACATGGCCACAGAAGTGTTTTTACTCTTTACCTCAGGCCATTTTTTTCTGGTGAAGACTGATTTGCTTAGTAATTCCCCAAGTAAGAAACCATTCCTGTCACCATGCAACCTTATCTGGCCTGGTCACCCATTGGATATTTAGAACATCAGCTCCAGACAAAATGGTTCAAACTGATGCGAACAGTTGTTCCAAAGATCTGTGGGGGACAACAAAGTGGTTAAGTTTGCCTTGACATCTCTCTCAGAGCTCCATGGAAAGCAAAACTATACATTATACTTCATTTTCTCTGCTACACAACCCATCTAGTCAGCTCATTCATATGCAGGTTTACTCTGATGTAAATTTCAGTGGGTTAGAAATTAAAGACACAATGTAATGCAATTTTTATTTCAATTTTACCCTTTTATTTATGGTACATGGAGTTCAATGAAGCCATTTACCTTGTGACGGGTGTTAGTAGCAGGAAGCAAACATTTTTCTAAGTAAATTTTACATAAGTAAATATTGAGCATATTTACAAAAGAGTCACTTCCAAATAAAAGTATAAACCACTCTTCAGAGTAAATATACTTAGGTTCAGCTAGGAAATGTAAGATTGACATTTGAGGAAAACCTGCATCGTAAACATCTACTGTTAGTTCATTTAGCAGAAGAGTAAATAGCATATGCATGGGTAGAGGATAAACATACCTATTTGGAAATAAAGTCTATTGAAATCAGCAGATTTTGCTTCCAAAGCATGATTAGATCTTTATAATACGTACTAGATTTAGCATTAGATCCTTCAGTTTTGCCAAAATATATTAGTCATACCCATACAAACTTGGTTTTTTTTACATTTTTGAAGTTATTTTTCATACACAAGAAAAGATAGGCCTATGTCCATAACATTAAAAAAAAATCCAAAAACAAATACTGAATAATAATGATCAAATTACAAAATAAAAGGCATTAAAATGCCAGCAAGTAAACAAAAATCTTCAATCCAGTCTTTGTCAGTCCCATGCAAACTGAAACACTTTGATTTGACATAAAAAAGAAAGGGAAAACATTTATACCAACCATATGTCCCTTGGGAGTGCATTCCAAACTCAAGAGTACCAACAGAGAGGGCCTTTCTTATATAATATGTGTGGAAATAGAAGGCACCTGGCAGGAACTGCAAGCAATTCTGAAAACTAATTCTGAAAATAATTCAATGGCAAAGAACCAAGGTGATAAAAAATTTGAAGGACAATGTCAGAAATGTTACCAATTTATTCAAGTTCTTAACAGCCATTCAATATTAAGTCTTTAATTCTACAGCTGTCCCAGCAGAAGCATTTTTGAATTGGGTGCACCTTATTTCTAAATGGACATAGAATTTGACTGTAATGGCTGTTGCCTTAAACTTCCGTCTGAGTATATATATTAGGTTGTGTGGTTACTGTGGAGTAAAAGCTCCATGAAACATAGACTTATTTTGAATGAATATTTATAGGATTGCATTTTAAGAACAGATAAGGTTTATAACTATCATAGAATCATAGAATATAAAAGGGTCTGTTCATTTAAACTAAATGCAGGAATGCAAATCATGGGCAAATACTCCATTGTTTGGTTCTTTAAAGCCTGGAAGTGAAGCAGCCGCACAATTTTACATACAAAAAAGAAAAAGAAAAATACTCTGATCAACATTCATAGATGGCTTAATAATGCAGAATTTCTCAAACAAACAGCGACCAAATGCTGTTGCTTAGTGTAGTAAAATGCACTAAAATAGGCCATTGGATCAGTGATATTTGGCAAGTCAACTCCTCCGCAAGTTCCATTGATTAATTGGCCTACTCTTGTGTAATTTACTACACTAAGCAATAGGATTTTGGACACTATTACACTAGCATAAGTAGCAAAACAGGATTTTGGCCGATATTACATTAGAACAAACAGCAGAACTGGGCTAGTTCATTTGAGAAAAGAAAATTGGCCTTTGAATGATGTTCTGTCATGGTAGGTCCAGAGTCACCTGAGTCCTACAGGGCCTATAAAGGAAGTCAGTGAGCATAGGAAGCGTTTGGTTCCCACTGGATTGAATCCAAAAGAGTGGCTGCAAGTGATGAAGAGGCATCTAAAGCTATGGGTGTTATGCCTTGTTGGAATTGCTGTTTCTGCTCAAAACGCTTCAGGTAAATGTAGGGAGAGAAGCAGTAGAAATGTTGTGGTCTGGAAGGAGTTAAGCTGCCATCCAGCTTTATTCATTGCTCACCACATAGAGGGTTGGTTTAAATGTGTTGACTCTATTTTATTTTTAGATACTTCCTGGTTCTGGGGAAAGTCTTTTCTCAAGAAACTGGTTAGGGCGCAAGGTTATCTTAGTGAGTGACTGAAGTGCATTGAATTGTGTAAGTGGAGAATCGTGTTCTTTTAACTTTTGAAAGACTGCAGGGAGTTTCTGTTTTTTCCATTAGGAACCATGAAAAGTTTTAGTAAAGGTATTTTTCTCTTAGGACAAACTTTCAAAAGTGGTGAATGAGCTTTGGAGTTAGATAGTACCTCCTTTCTGGCAGCCTCTTAGGCAAAATGGAAAGTAAAACAAAGGCAAACCAGGAAGGTCAAGGCAGTTGGATTTAATAGGAAATCCTAAAAGATTAGGTAAAGGTTCCCCTTGACATTTTGTCCAGTCATGTCCGACTCTAGGGCGCAGTGCTCATCCCCATTTCCAAGCCATACAGCGTGACTAGACATGGAATGCTGTTACCTTCCCATCTTGGTGGTACCTATTTATCTACTCGCATTTTTACATGCTTTCAAACTGCTAGGTTGGCAGTTCTAAAGCAAGAGGTTAAATAGGTTTAAATAAATTAGACAAGTGTAAATAAACAAAGCAATTTAGTACATTTTGTACTATTTCCATTATCCCCTGACACCTCAGCACAACCTCCAGGTGTTCTGGATACTTGGTCCCCAGCTGATGATAACCACAGGGAGGGGATGTAGTCCAACACACTTGAAGGTCATGTGGTTGATGAAGGCTGTTCAAAAATAGCTTTCTAATTGCATGGAGAGTTATTGAGACAAAGAAACAATAATGGTGAATTTCTCCCTCTTTTTGAAAATGTAAATACCAGCAGTTTTTAGTCTATAGCTCTAGCATGAAATGAAGTCTGGGGCAGAACTGGAGCAATATGTTAGGCTTTATGTTAATTGTTGTTGGTAAGCTGGGAAAATAGAAGGGTTTCTTGATATTGTACCTAATGGCTGGAGGATCTGTGATTTCCAACAGTTCATATTCCATATTAAAGTGACAAAGAGTTATTCTCCTGTTTCAGAATACCTGCGTTAAATACTACATTTAGTATTATAGATTGTAGGTAGTCAAGCTGGTCAGCGTAAACAAACAAACAGAACCCCCAACATATACAAACGAATGTTTTTTTCCCCCCAGTGGCATCACTGAATTGATCTAAAGCATCAAAGTAGGGCACAAATGTCGGGGCAATCGAGCAAGCCCTATTTCTAGTAAGCCCTATTTAGCAGTGTGTCAATCTGAGATTTGTAGTGAAAAAAAACAAACCAAAAGTACAGACCCAACAACAAATCTGCTCATTTCTGGTCCTAATAGTATTGGCCAGTAGCAGCATTTCTGTGTTTTCTAATTACTGCAGGAGCAGCTCTTTTTAAGTCTGCTGTCCGAAGCATCTACCCAAACAAGCCCTATTCCCTTTCCTAGCACTTAATCTTAAGTAGATATGAATCAGATTGCCTCATTAATTAGCTATAAAAACAGGCCAGAAATAAAACTGGAAAGGCTTCTGGAGCTGAGCCGCAATGAAGACATGGCTTCATAGCGATCTATCAGGATTTATCCCAGAGAGGAAACTTCCAAAGCCATTGCTTTTGTGGTGGTCATGGTTAGTGAACATTCAGATTGTTGATGACTTTAAAATCCTGGCCATAAGTAGATGCAAACAAGATTTCAGGACTTGGTTTTCTTCTTCTTTGTACTGATAAAATATAGACCCACAGCGGTGCAGTGATAGGGATGCTGGACTCAGAGTTTGGTGATGTAGTTTCTGGTCCCCATTGAGCTATGAACCTCACTGGTTGACTTTGGGTTAGTCATTCTCTTGTGGAAGAAATCTCTAGATAACATTTTAGAGTAGGAGGTTTATTCATTATAGTCGTGGCAGAGCATATAGCAAAAGAGCAATGCCTGAGTTATTTCCAAAGATGTAGAGATGAATGGCTTTTTAAAAGGCCTTTTATATATAAATGCACAGTTCCTTGATTCGTGGGGGTGGGAAGGTGCAGTCAGTTTTTCTTTCCATTACATGTTATTAGTTAACTAGTTTTTGTGATTTCCTTATCTGGAGTCTCCAACAACTTCCACTTACCCAATTCCTTATCAACATACTTTTATATACTTAATAGTTGATATTGCAGCTGGTGCCTGGCTTAATTTTTCTTTCCTCACTCTCTTGGCTTCAAACAGTGGTTGTGAGAATGAAGTGAAAAGAGCCATGTGCATCATGTGTACCTTCAGCTCACTGGAGAAAAAAGCAAAATATTAATATGAAAAATCATAAATAAATCTATATAGAAGGCACTTTATAAAGAACTGATACATTCCCTGAGGCTCATTGTCTAAAACAAACAGAGGGAAATGAAGGTTACATAGTCACCAGAGAAATATGTGACTTTAGTTGCAGTGAGTAAAGGACAGAGCAGTGATTCTCAAATGTCAGGCCCCAAATGTGTCTGGGCTGCAGTTTTTAGAAGTATTAGCCAGCATAGCAAATGGTAAGGACTTCTGGATCTCCAAGTTCGGGAGCTATTGATATAAAACCTAGAAGATTTCCCACAGAGTTCTGAACAATTAAGACAGGTGTTTTCTAGAAGAAATAAGGATGGTGGTGGCTACATAGAAGCACTGATGGGAGGCAATTCTAGGCATAAAGGATAAAAAAAAGGGAAAATCAGCTCAGCTGATAAAAACAGAACAAATCCATCACAGCAACAGAAAGCCTTCAGGAATTAAGTTACAATGAGGAAATATATTTATAATGATCTATTAGGATTTTACCCCAGAGAGGGACTTTTCAAAGTTGTGGCTTTTGTTGTGCTTTGTAGCCACAAATAATAGTAAGCCTTGGTTCCCTTTGGGAGGAACCACAACTAGCTTCAGGGAGCTGGATGGACCATTGCTGCGGACAAAGAGGGGCTTAGCGGTGGTCAGTCTCTTTATGATGGGATGCTCTAGTGATGTACTGCATGCCCTTGACGGTCGAGAGTTGTGCTGGGATAAATTGTTCCCATGTTACTGACTAACCTATCCTTGTGCTATTTGCAGTATCTGTGTCATGTGGCACCTCGCACCTAGCAATCACCGTGCCAGTGGATCTCTTTGGGCCTGGTGTGGTGGTTGGTGCTGAGGAACTGATCCTGGGATCTGGCTGCGGTGTGACGGCTGTGCAAGGAAATCTGCTGCTGCTGGAATACCCCCTGTTTGCATGCGGGGCTACCAGAAAAGTAAGGAAAGGGCACTGCCAGGACTCCTGGTGAACAATTGGGAATTTTTAGATCTCCATAGGAAAGTCTGCTAGGAATGGCCAGTGCTCCTTCCGAGGATGACAGTCAATGGCCAGAGCCATTGTGGTCAGCGGTATAGAATCAGTCTGTCTGCTCAGCAACTTGCAGCTTGGATGCATCAGCTGAGAAAGCTGAACTGATGGCAATGTCATCTTTGTGTGTGTGTTACTTCCTAGCCAGAACCAATCAAATAAAAACTGTCTTCTGTTTTGTAATCATGAGGTTCTCTCAATGTCTTTAAAAGCAACAGTACATTGCATCTTCCAGTGGGAATGGGTGATTCTAGATAACAGGTCACTGCTCAGAGACCACTGGTAATGGTGCAGCTAAAAACTTGCAAATAAAAATAAATAAATAATAAAATAATAAAATAAAAATGTGCTCGAAATATTAAGCAATTTTAAGTATTTATTTATTCTATTTATATTCTGCTTATCTGGTCTTGCGACCACTCTAGGCGGCTTTGTCACTTCCTCCCTAACTCCATTCTCCTGAGTACCATATAGCCCATCCATCCTCAAAGAGTTTGGGTGTGGTTATGAAAGATCCTGGGGGTTATTGCAAAAGCAGCTGGTGCTCTGGCCCCCTTGCTTCAGAGACAAAAGGCTAGTAGTTGGATTGAGGTGATTACTTGAAATGAACTACACGGAAATGTTGAAAGAAGCTCTTGAGTAAATTGCACTCAAATGTGCCTGGCAAAAAATCTGAATGTCCCCAGTAAGGGATAACTTAGATTTAAGAGACTCGTGGTGTGATTACACTCTGAGAGAAATGTAAATTCATTCTCTCAGGTTTTCCCAGGTCTGTTCACATTAACTAGTCACATAACAAGGAGGAAATTGGCTAAACAGCCTTGTTTTCAGCTTGTTAACATCACTGTCCTGTAACCCTGCAGGAGATGCAATTACAGGAGAACTACCTTAATGAGCTGTAAACAAGGGCTGAATGGCAATTTCTTCCTTTCGGTTTCTATGTGCCATAGTGCAACAGCACTGACACCAAGCTTTTTTTTTTTTAAGAAAAGAAATGGCATTAGTGGTGGACCTACATTTTGGAGCCCCTGAAGCTTGAACAGTTGGGGGAGGGGCATTCTTTCTTTTGGTTTCTATGTGCCCTAGTGCAACAGCACTGACACCAAGGTTTTTTTTAAAGAAAAGAAATGGCATTAGTTGGCCACAGTGGTGGACCTAAATTTTGGAGACCCTGAAGCTTGAACAGTTGGGGGAGGGGCTTCACAACCAGCAATGAGGTTGGGATAATGTTATCTTCTTCAATAGGATTGTTCCATGAGAGATCATCCTTTTTTTTTTCTTTTGAAAGTGAACTAAACTTTGAACTTTGCTTCTGGAGCCTCTCCAGGATTAGGGGCCCTGAAGCTTAAACTTCATTAATTTCATAGCAGATCCATCCCTGGCTGGCCATTGCATCAAACCCAGCTCATACTTTACTACATTACTGTAGTTCAAGTGAGCATACCATCTGAAACGATGCAAATAGATCTACTATGGAAAAAAAGTAGATGCTCCAGCAGCAGAGGGAAAAACTATTGATTTGAGGAGGAAAACTCCAGGCTGCTTTGCATTTGCTTTTATATCATGTGAGTAATGAAAAAAACCCCACCAAATCAGATTGTCCCAATCCTGTAGCATTTCCCTCAGTTTTATTAATATAATCACAGCCTATGTGTGAAATTGTGTGCTGTAAAATGTGCTGTGCTTTCAAGTCAAAGTTTTGTACAAACCTCAATACTGTAGTTTGCGGCTTACAAGTCTGGAGCTTATGCTGATCATGTCTGGTGAAGAAAGTGCCCTGATTATGGCCTTCCTGTCTGCATCACTCTTGTCGTTAGGTTGTTTTCCAAAAACACAATATTGATTTGGAATGCTTTTTTTCTAACAAAAATCAGCCTGGTGTATTTCTGCCTGGGAAATATGAACAAAGATACAAAGAATTGTTCCTTAAAACAATGGTAGGCAGCTTGCAGCCTTCCAGATGTTGTTAGTATGAAACGTCCATATTCTCCACACCATTGGGTATGCTATGTACGAGTGTTGTAGCGCAACAACATTGTTAGGGTTACAAGTTGACTGTTTATGAGGTGATAAGGACTGATAAGAGTATAAATAACAGTCTGAGGAGGTTGATAGGCGAAGTGCACCTGTAGAGGGGACAGACTCTGCTTGGGGGAGAGGGGGATACGATTTTTTCTTCAACACTACAAACCTATGCTGACGTGGTCTTTATTGCTTATGCTTTAGTTTATTAAGATAACATCATTAATATATTCAATTGAAAGTTACTTGACTTAGTTAATATTTTGCATTACTTTTATTGAATCTTGAAATACTTTAGCCAAGTTCTTATTATTCTATTTTTTAATATATCACATTAAGTTTGCAAATATTAATGTTGAGAACAATATCATACATGCACATCTACCTGTGCATGCTTGTTCCATAAAAGAAGAAAAATAGAGATTGTTCTGGACAATCAGTTTATCTTGCTTGAAGAAATAATCTAAAGAAGAAGAAAGTAAATTATAAAAGGCGAACAAAGGCTTCTGAGTGTTTTTATATATATAACCTTTAAAAGTAGCTTCAACTGAATTTTTTCTTGACTCTTAGATTCTTCCTGGTAGCATCCATTACAGAAACATTCTCCACTACACACCTTCAGGGGCAAATGGGGTGATCCGAGCCAGTCACTTCTCTCATCCCATAGACTGCTTCTACCCTAGGTAAGTGGTGGTGTGGCCTCTTTGACAGGCAAGCCCAGAAGCACTGGGTGTTAGCAGGCCTAGTGGAAGGAACAGAAGGGAAGGCTTATGTTTCTGGGGCAGATGCAAGTAGTCGAAATTGGTCCTCCTGCATCACCTCTTCTAAGCAGAACAAACCTAGGCCTGCATAGCTACGCTAGCAGCTAAGAAGAGTTTGTTTAGTTAAGTTATTGCTCTTGAATATGGAGAACAGCACTACACAAAGATGTCTTAAGTGAAGAGTTAGTTAATAAATGTATTTATTAAAACAAATCACGTGAGTACTGGCTCTGAAAGGAGCATCATGCTGTAGGAGCTGTAATGAACTATTTCAGTTGTCATCTAGAAGAATGTTAGCTGTTTTAGTAATGTTGGCCTCAGTTCCTTCAAGAAGACACACACGACAGATGGGATCTTCCATTGCATACCTTATTTATTGTTCTTTTTAATATGTCGTCAACTCATCTCTGACTTATGGTGACCCTATAAATAAATAACCTCCCAAAGGTCCTGTCATTAAGAGTCTTGCTCAAGTCTGGAAAAATCAAAGTCATGGTCTCCTTTATTGAGTCAGTCCATCTCACGTTAGATCTTCCTCTCTTCCTGCTACTTCCCACTTTTTCTAATATTACTGTCTTTTGAAGTAAGCCTCATCTTCTTACAATATGATTAAAAAATGAAAGCCTTGGTTTAGTTGTTTTTGCCCCTTGTGAAAGTTCAGGCCTGATTTGATCTTAAAACACACTTATTTATCATTTGGACAATCTGTGGTGTCTGTAAAGTTCTCCCCCAATACCAAGTTTCAAATGGGTTACATTCTTTTCCTGCCAACTTTCTCCACAGTCCAGCTTTCACATCCACATGTAATAATTAGTAATGAGGTATTCAAATACAGAATTTGGAATCTGACCAGCTTACTATAAAAGAAAAAGATAGTACTAAAGAATTATCCTCCAACTACCGTACAATTGCACTCATTTCACACGCTAGCAAGGTTATGCTCAAAATCCTCCAAGGTAGGCTTCAGCAATATGTGGACCGAGAACTCCCAGAAGTACAAGCTGGATTCCGAAGAGGCAGAGGAACTCGAGACCAAATTGCTAACTTGCGCTGGATTATGGAGAAAGCCAGAGAGTTCCAGAAAAATATCTACTTCTGCTTCATTGACTATGCGAAAGCCTTTGACTGTGTGGACCACAGCAAACTATGGCAAGTTCTTAAAGAAATGGGAGTGCCTGACCACTTTATCTGTCTCCTGAGAAACCTATATGTGGGACAGGAAGCAACAGTCAGAACTGGTCATGGAACAACTGAGTGGTTCAAAATTGGGAAAGGAGTACAGCAAGGCTGTATATTGTCCCCCAGCTTATTTAACATATATGCAGAATACATCATGCGGAAGGCTGGACGGGAAGAAACCCAAGCCGGAATTAAGATTGCCGGAAGAAATATCAACAACCTCCGATATGCAGATGATACCACTCTGATGGCAGAAAGTGAGGAGGAATTAAAGAACCTTGTAATGAGAGTGAAAGAGGAGAGTGCAAAAAACGGTCTGAAACTCAACATCAAAAAAACTAAGATCATGGCCACTGGTCCCATCACCTCCTGGGAAATAGAAGGGGAAGATATGGAGGCAGTGTCAAATTTTATCTTCCTGGGCTCCATGATCACTGCAGATGGAGACAGCAGCCCTGAAATTAAAAGACGCCTTCTTCTTGGGAGGAAAGCGATGACAAATCTTGACAGCATCTTGAAAAGCAGAGACATCACCTTGCCAACAAAAGTCCGAATAGTCAAAGCTATGGTTTTTCCTGTCGGGATGTATGGAAGTGAGAGCTGGACCATAAAGAAAGCAGACCACCGAAGAATTGATGCCTTTGAATTGTGGTGCTGGAGGAGGCTCTTGAGAATCCCCTGGACTGCAAGGAGAACAAACCTATCAGTTCTAAAGGAAATCAACCCTGAGTGCTCACTGCAAGGACAGATCCTGAAGCTGAGGCTCCAGTACTTTGGCCATCTCATGAGAAGAAAAGAGTCCTTGGAAAAAACCCTGATGTTAGGAAGGTGTGACGGCAAGAGGAGAAGGGGACGACCGAGGATGAGATGGCTGGACAGTGTCTGCGAAGCAACCAACATGAACCTGACACAACTCCGGGAGGCAGTAGAAGACAGGAGGGCCTGGCGTGCTCTGGTCCATGGGGTCACGAAGAGTCGGACACGACTAAACGACTACACACAAAGAATTATCCTAAGGATGTGTATTTTGAAATAAAACACAGAACATCAGGCAGCTTTCAAATTGCAAATACTCCAGGTGGCGCTATTGGCCGTTTTCAGAATAATCAAAGTAACATTCATTGCAGCAGCAGATGGTTCTTGTGGGAAGAGGCAAGAGATGACCTGTGGTCTCTGTTCTAGGTCCTGGAATGTCTCCTCACTTGGACTTCAGCCCACCTGGATCCCTTTCACTTCCACTGTGATGAGCAGACAGCGCTTAGACTTTGCTCTTGAAGTCTATGACAGTGAGTGTACTGTTCTGTTGAAACACGCAGCCTCTGTTCATTTTCAGTAAGTGATGATATTAAGCAGACCTGGGAGTTGCTCATCCTGAATAAACTTAGGTTGGAGAAGACATGCAATAATAGCTGACACTGAGTATGAATTTTGAAAGGGGTGTGTGTGTTCACTTGTGATGTGTGCATTTTCTACCTACACCGCTAACAAATTGCATTAGATTTTTAAAAATCTGTTTGTCCAGAACTAATTCAAACAAAATTAATGCATGTGTGTTAAAAGAGCCAATATTGCTCTCTGACCCTTTTCACCTCTCAAGCTGTTGCCTGTTTCTAGTGTTCCTCTATATCAGCAGTGGTGGTCTTCCAGACATTAGACTGGAACTCCCATTAGTCCCAACTTGAAAATGGACAGTAGGTCTTGGTTTTCTTGCTGTTGCTGTGTTCTGTCAAGTCACTTCAGTCCCTGAGAGTAAATGAGATATTCAAGGTATGGTTTTGCCATTGCTTTTACTCTACCCTACCCCCACAATTTTCCATGACCACCTGGAAATTTGAACCCAGGTCTCCTGAGTCCTGGTCTGATAACGCTATTCTCTGTACCAGACTTGGGCATTAGATTTTTTTAAAAAAAAGGCTATAATATGAATCCCTCGGGAGTGTAAATGCATTCCAGCAGGTAAAGATGGAAATTTGAACCCACGTCTCCTGAGTCCTGGTCTGATGATAACGCTATTCTCTGTACCACACTTGGGCATTCGATTTTTTAAAAAATAAGGCTATAATATGAATCCCTTGGGAGTGTAAATGCATTCCAGCAGGTAAAGCTTCATCAGCACCATGGATGATTCTCAAATCATATCTGAGACTGTACCTGCTCTGATGATCCAATTCTCTAACTCGTTTTCATGCTGGCCTTGGCAAGACATGGGGGCACCATCAGAATCTGGCATCCTTGGGGATAAAGGTGGGTACCTGACAGGGCCCATACTGTAGAGCAGAGGATCCACTGACAACCCTGAAAGAGGGTCTGCCGCTGTTGCTGCTACCTGGTAACCCCATCTCTTCAGAGCAAGTCAGCAATGTCAGAGCAGCAAATCCTGCTGATCTTGAGGCCACCCCCTGGGTAATTCAGTTACTCTGGGGGCAAAAGGAAAACCCAAATGAATGGGCAAATGGTAAGAACCACCAGAGGAAAAACGATCTTACTTAGGCAGAGGTTCTCTGAGAACATCTTGGCAGAGCACACGCCCATCCCCAAGTGAGAACTGCTTGCATTCTAGAGATGCAGATACACAACCGTGCATGAAGGAACTCACTCGCTATTCTTTCTCTTAGGTTCCTGGTCACAACCTGTGTCTGATCCTACTTATTATCTTGGAGACCTAGTCAATGTCCAAGCCTCAGTAAGAAAAGGTAACCATGTACCTCTGAAGATCTATGTGGATGAATGCGTGGCCCGCCCAAGCGCTGAGTCATCTGTGAAGTATGAGGTCATCACAAACCATGGGTGAGACATGGGGAATAGTTGGGCCAATGCAGTGGGAGAAGCCTTGAAATGTAGCCTTGCTGTGGCAGTCGAGGCAAGGGCTTGATAGAGCGGGAGCTTGAGTGACTACAAGTTCCATGGAGCCATTTCCCTAGGAATAAATGACAGCAAGCTAGTCTGGAAGTTTTAAGTGATTTAAACAAGACAGCAGGAGTCTCAGAGAGTGCCAGTCACGTTTTCAAAAAGAAATGAAAGAGAAGATGGGCCTGGTGCTCAGAGCTTTGACTACTGGGTCAGATGGAGGGTCATGGTAGCATGTACATGCATTCACACACACTAGGGTGGCCACACAAGAAGAACAGGGTTCCAGCATTTGAATCATGGTGTGGAAGTGGTCGTTTCAACACATGTAGCTTTGCATGACAAGCTATAGCTGCAAAAAGAAAAGCATCAATCTTGTGCCACCTCTAATATTAAGAGTGTGGCTGCACAGCGGGGAAATGCAAATAAATTGGCTGTGAAAGAACACCTGTCAGGTCAGGTTTCCCCATAATAATTTGCTTCAGCAAACTACACAGGATTTAGCAGAGAGTGGGGAGGAGCTTGTTAATAATTTGAATCCTCTCTTTCTCTCATTGGATGTCTGGGTCTCATTGCTTCTTTCATTCTTTCCTTTCTGTTCGTTCTTTCTTTTCCTTTCCTTTCCTTTCCTTTCCTTGGCTTGCTGTCCTAGTATCAGGCCAGCTAGATGACCAAAGAAAGTGGGGGGGAGAGAATCAGCAGACAGAAATGATTTTTTAAATTTCCATCTTGTTTCCAGCTCCTTAAGTTGTGGTGGCGCTGTGGAGTAAACCGCAGAAGCCTCTATGCTGCAAGGTCAGAAGACCTGCAGTCATAAGATCGAATCCACGCAATGGCGTGAGCCCCCATCACTTGTCCCCGCTCCCGCCGACCTAGCGGTTCGAAAGCATGCAAAATGCAAGTAGATAAATAGGTACCACCACAGTGGGAAGGTAACGGTGTTCCGTGTCTAGTCGTGCTGGCCACATGACCACGGAAGATTGTCTTCAGACAAAAACGCTCGTTCTATGCCTTGGAAACGGAGATGAGCACCACCCCCTAGAGTCAGACACAGCTGGACAAATTGTCAAGGAGAACCTTTACAGTACCTTCACCTAAGTTACCTCTGTTCTTCTCTGGCTGTCCAGATTTGCAGGAAGCACAGTTAGAGCAGAGCTACCTTAAAGCTACCATCTCTATGTCGATTCCTTACTCTTCCTTTTTATTTGATTGTCTGGTTGCCGCAGTGCAAGGTGAGCAAGTAAAAAAAGGGGGGGGGAGGAAGGAAGGAATGGAAGTAGAAGGGAAGATGGGAGCGGATCAAGGCACTAGGTGTGGCAAGAGAATTCAAACATTCCCTGCTGCCCTGCCTCTCTCTCTGCTGCTGGAGCCAGCTGGAATGGCTTTAAATACAATAGTTTTAAAAAACCTTGCACATGGGCTTAAGTGATTGTGTTGACAGAACCTGTGTAAAGACATTCAATTTAAAAAAGAAAAAGCGGAAGTCCCAGTGGTTGAGGGGGGAAAAACTACAGATGGGAGAGGTGAAATTTGGTCTGATTGACATTAACTTTTGCATCATGTAGTCAATAGAAAATAATGTAAATTAGACCATCCTAGTCCTGGTGCATATTCCACATTGTTTTATTTATTTGTTTGTTTGTTTGTTTGTTTGTTTGTTCGTTCGTTGATTGATTGATTGATTGATTGATTGATTGGTCACATCCTAAGAAATTTATATCAATGTGAGCATTCCTGGGCTGCACTTTGCTTCTTCAGCCACAAGAAGTGGATGGTAATGCACGTAAGCTTACTCTGAAGTAAACATATTGGTTTCAAAAGTACCACAAGACTTTTGTTCTTGTTGCTGAAACAAAGTAACATGACTACCTCTCTGAAGAAACATCTATACCTGTTGAATTTCCCTCCTCCACCCTACTGTTAAAGCTGTAAGAATTGTATTCCCATTTTCACGTAGCAACTCTAACATGTGCCCGTTTGTAGGGTGACCACCCACACACTCCACTTTCCATGGTCGATTTTCCTCCCACACCAAAGTACATCCTGCAGGGAGCAAAGCAGCAGCAGAAAGACATTTGGGAAAGGCAGGGATAGTAATTCCAATCCCACCACCATTGTCTATTGCTTTCCCAACACCCTCTAGCCAAACTACCCCTTCCTGTTCCATATTTAACAAGACTTGTTTCCAAACTGATTGTATCACTATCAGTCTAGTGGAAAACTGAGAGCCGGTGGAAAACCTCTTTAAAATGATAATAAAAAAAATAAAAGGTTAAAGACTGAAGAGAGGGACTCATACTGCATAACTCTCTAAAATGAAGTCCAGGAAACAAGATGGTTAGTTTTTGTGGGAATCAGTCAGCAATCCTGTTGTGTAGGTTGATCTCAGCTGAGACATGTGGTAACAGAACTTGGAAGATTAGGGCAATTTTAAGATTTGTGTTCCAAAAAAAAAAAAAAAAAAGGAAAAAAGAAAAATGCTTTTTTTTCAAGCTCTTTTGGGGTGCTGATAACATGAGCTGGAAAACAGGCATTTCATATCTGCCTGCATCCCCCCTGCAGATGTCTTGTGGATGGGCAGCAGAGTGGCTCCCATTTCCTTGCTACACAAGAAGATGGAGTCCTCCGCTTCCAGCTGGACACCTTCACCTTCATTGGGGCTTCCAACAACCAGGTGAAGGAAAGAGAAAAAAAAACTGGGGGTTGAATTAATGTTATGTTAACTGGGCTGGTGCTACACTAGCATGGTGTCACAAAGGATTACTAATGAGGAGCACTCTAATTCACTTTAACTTTGAATAACCTGCCCGTGAGGGCAGATGCTTTACTGCAGAGTGTGGTGGTGGAGTTTTTGATCCTCATCTTCCTCCTTGGATTTTATGGGTGGTTTAGTGGATATACCAGGATCAAAGGCTCCAGTCTTTGAATTATGAACAACAATGCTAATATAAGATATGCTTGGATTCCTTAGATCTACCTCATATGCCACTTGAAAGCTGTCGCTGTTGGCTCTGCAGACCGTCGCAACAAAGCATGCTCTTACAGCCGTGCAGCTGCAACCTGGAGTTCCCATGAAGCAGCCGATTGCTCCTGCTGTGCTTCTCTTAGTGGCTGTGGCAGCAGGAGGAGAAAGAGAGGGCAGCAGCAGCAGCAGCAGAAAGGTGAACACCCTTCTCTCTGGAACCTGCTTTAAGGGATAATGATTGGGACTGGATGCTTACAAATCAGCAGAGAGGAGGCGAACCTCTCTGGACGCCATGGAGGACACTGCCTTTTCGCCCATGAATTAGCGTTGTCAGTGTTTGCATATAGAATGGCAGGGGGTGGTAGTGGTTTCAATACATGCTTTGCCCTGGGAAGCTGTATAGATCTTGGGCCAACTCTGTTTGAATTTGTGCTGCCTTTTTTTTTTGCAGGGCTGTTTGGAGAAAGAGACGTCAAGCTTGGTCCCATTGAGCTGAAAGAGAAGCGGGCGAATGCTCCCATGGTGAATGCATCCGGCGCCTCTCAGCTCACGCCTGTTGTGACCAGTACCGCCACAGCTAAGACACTGCAGGCTGCTGGGATGCACCCTAACCAGGTGGTGAATATTATCATGAGGGGAGGACTGCAGGAAGACCCATCTGGTGAGAACTTGAGAAATCGCCTATATTTATTTTAAACACATACTGTGTAAGCTAACTTCTAGCATTAAAACCCTACCCAAGCTGGCTTCAAATAATTTTCTGAAATTAAAAAAAAAGAGAGGGAGAAGGCTTATATATCAGAGCCATAATTCCAAGACCGTGAAGGCTTGACATCTGAAACTTGGCGCGTGTACTAAGAAGACCTTTGAGATGTGCACTTTTCTATTCTTAAAATGAGTAGATTTAAATGTAGCTATGCATTTGAGCTTCAGAGGCTGACTCCATGGATATTTATCCTGCTGTTTGGTCTACTGCAGGAATGGGCTGGTTCACTCTTATCAGACAGCAACCAGACAGTGTCTTTGCCAATCCCCAGAGTGCACCTGCACCTTTCTGGCCACTGTCAGAGGCTTCTAAATTCTGTGTGTGGGTGGGATCCCTCTGTTTTGGTCTGCTTCCAGTGCATGTGATCAGTGGAAATAGATCAAAGAAAACTTTCCTTTTTCAATTTGTCAATATCATGAAGTGGTGCACTGCATCAATTATATGTATATATTTAAAACAATAAAATATTTTCTGTGCTTTGCCTTAAAGGGCTAGTCGAGAAACTCTCTACAGTGAAATCTACAGCAGGCTTCAGTTATAAACCATTTCTCAACAGGCCCTTTGAGAGAAGGCAAAGAACATAATTTTTTTTTAAAAAAATTATAACTGATGAAGCACATCAACAATAGTCCTTTGTGTGTGTTCTGTGTCACCAAGTTGGAACTGACTTAGAGCAACACTTATAGCAAAGTGAGATATTTAAGAAGTGGCTTTACCAGTTCCACTCCCCCAGTGAGTTTCATGGCTGAGTGGGGATTCAAACCCTTTTCTCTAGAGACCTAGTCCATCACTCTATCCACTACACCAGGAATAGCCAATTACCCAGTCAAAACAAAACAAAACAAACAAACAAAAAACACTTTCGCCGACCCTTTGCCAAAAAGCAGAGCAAGTGATTAATTTGGCATTATCCTGAAGTGGCCTGCTTATTGAGCCCCATCACAATATTGGCAAATTCAAACTGGAAGGTTTGCTTTGGCTGCAGGAGCAATTTCTGTGTGACCCATTGTGCTTGATTTTTGGCACTATAGTACTTTTTTCTTTTTTACTGAAGTTCATGTCCAGCAAAGCAAAGCGTGCTGCTTATATACTGCCCCATAGCACTTCAAGCACTCTCTGGGCGGTTTACAATTGAATTATGCAGGCTACACATTGCCCCCCCAGCAAGCTGGGTACTCATTTTACTGACCTCGGAAGGATAGAAGGCTGAGTCAACCTTGAGCCGGCTACCTGGGATTTGAACCCCAGGTCGTGAGCAGTTTTAGCTGCAGTACAGCGGTTTAACCACTGCGCCACGAGGTGAGAGCTTTCCAGTCAGAAACCTGAAATTAGCACTCAAAAACACTTTTAAAAAAAAACTCCCATGAATTCCCAATAGTTCGCTTCAAGATTTCCTAAATAAGTGTCTCTTTTTTTCCACTTTTTTGAAAAGAAATGCATTTGTTTCAGTGCTAATCCCAGTAAACTTCATATTCCTCTGGCACCAAGTAGTAAAACAAAAGAGGGGACGGAGAGATGCTTCTTCTGGAAGACTCTGTATTTGGCTGATGATTATACATATGATTAGGTTGAGTGGTTGAAGGCAGTAATAAGTGAATTCAGTGTGCTGTGATGTGAGTCATCAGATGCATGAAATATACAAATTAATATCTATAAATAACGTTCCAAAGCAATTTAGGTTTAGCAGTCCAACTTAGAACTGAAATAAGGTGGAACATTATACTTTCCCCCCACTGTACAGATGTGGCAGCTGCAACTGAATATATAACATACAATTTGCAGAGAATCTAGGTATGTCTTATCTTTTAGATAATATTATCTATGCAGTAGTCACACTTTCGTACAAGAACCCCAAAGTTAATTTGATATTGGGTTCTGCCCTATGTTTGATCCAAAGGTTAGCTGTGATGCTTGTAGCAAGAGTACGTCTGACCATCTGCAGAGTACACTTTACTACAACCAGTTCTTTATTTGGGATTGAGCTAAAGAACTTTTGAGACTCTGATGCCCAGTAAAACTAGTTTTTTTTCTCTCTCTCTCCATATACTCCATATACTGCCTCTAAGTGGAGTTCTGTGTTGCCTTGTGTTTTCCAGCCACAGTATGGGTCTGCTGCCCAAGATCTCCCTCAGTTGACTCTGTGTTCTCCTCCTCCTTCTCCCCACAGGGCTTCGTTTCCCCTTCTCCACTGCTACCCTGGTCATCATAGTTGCCTGTTCTGCCATTGCACTGGTGTCGATCCTGGGCTGTTACTGTTCCACCAAACGCTCCCACGGAGGATACCACATGGAACAGCCACTCCGCCCAGCTCTCGGGGAGCTGAGTGCTGTCGCGATGGCACCTGCTGCTATTGGAACATCTGGGGCTGGTGCCTCTGGGGAATGCAGTGCTGCCTCCAAGAAATCGGATGGATTGGTCATTGCAGCAAGTGGGCAACCTACGTCTGTCTAAATTGCAATAGGTGAACAAATAAAGATTGGCACTGCATGTTGTGACTGTAGTTTATTATCCTGCTCTTGCCTCAAGGGATGCAAGCATTACCCAGGGGTTTGTTTCCTTGGAAAAAGGCTGCCAGGGGATTATTGCATACTTGTGACATACGGGTTAGTTCTACAGATATATATAAGTTGGGTAAAAGTGTATACTTATAGAGTACTAAGAAGGTTCATGCCTCTGCCCACACTCTAGAACAGAAGAGGACAATGGGTGGCCCTCCAGACATTGTTGCTGAATGACGCCTTCCAGCATTCCTGACCACTGGCTATGCTGCCTGTGACTTTTGGAAGTTGTCTCCCAATAATACCTGAAGAGCTGCCTCTTATCTCCTATGTGATCTTGAGCAGTGATTCCCAACCTTGTGTCCCCAGAAGGACTAACATTCCAAGACGCTTTCACCCACTAGCTATGATGACTAGAATTTCTGGAAGTTGTAGTCCAAGAACATCTGGGCACCCAAGATTGGGAACCATTCTAGAGCGTCCTTTTTCAACCAGATGCCCACCAGCAATGGCTGGAAGTGATAGGAATTATAATCTAAAATATCTGGAACTGGTGGGTTAAAGTAACAAGGGACAGTGGTGACACTGTGGAAGAGTTCAAGATCTGTATATCCAACAATACTGTAGATTTAAAAGACTACTAGATCCATAGATGGACTAATCTGTATGTTCTCAGAGAAGACTCTGATAGTCTGTGAAAGGTCTAGGAAGAATCTTGTCTAGGATATAACCAAGATGCAACCATAGATTCACTGTTTAGCAATGCCTTCCTGTCTTAACCCACAAAGGCATCCAGTTTGTGTTGCTTCAGTCTTCCCTTTTGTCTACTCTTGCTCAAGTGAGATTGACTTTTCCCCTTAGAAATCAATATCCTACTATTGTAAACGTGCTGGTACTTCTGTATTACACCCAGGTTTGTAAAATGGCTTCACAATCTCACCTTCCTTGACACAGTGCTTCAAGGCAGGTCATTCTTATTTCTGCTTCATGAAGAGAACAACGCACAAGACAGTAGCTTGGAGTCCTATAGTACGTCCACGTTAGAGTTGCTCATTCAAAATTTAATCTAATTCAGCAATATTCTGCACAACCTTTCCTGCTTCAAGCTGAAAAGGACAGTCATGTCCCCTGTGCCATGCTGTATATGTCACTCTAGGTAGGCTTTCAGGCCTCTTGAAATAATGCAAACTGTTTCACCTCATGAGCAGGGTTCAAGCACTCTTGACTTTTTGATAAGTAGAGATCACTATCTCGTCTTCCAGTCCATTCCCCTCCCCAGCCTTCTCCATCCCCCTCAGAATTTAGCTTAGTTCATCACAGTGAGTGGGTGATGGAGGTGAAATATTTTTAGCAAATATATCTTGTGATAAACTATCCCAGTTGTAATGCAGAGTATTTTGGAGCAGCTTGGTCTTGAGGGCAATATGCTTTTTTAAAAGTCCTGTTTTTGGTGGAGATGAAAGCTGCCAAAATTGACTTGTTGATATGGATCAACATCTGTGTTGTGGATGTGGGAACTCTGCCATTACACTAGGGGTGGTCAAAGTGTCCAGACGTTTGTTGCATTGCAACCCCTAGTGTTCCTCATCCCTGGTTATGCTAGTTGGGGCTGATGGGAGGTGCAGTCCAACAATACCCAGGGGGCTGCTTTTTGCTCACTTCTAAGCTACATGGCTGCTCATGAATTGACACACAATTCATGTGTGTACAGGGCAATGTTGAAAGCTGCAGGATGCAGAGTAAACATTGTGCTCTTGGTGAGATTGGGTCATTTCCTTCTATGTAGAACGGGTCTGCCCCCCCCCCCCCCGTGTTGCTTAAAAGATTTGGGTAGTTTGGAAAGGGGGGAAGAGAAGGCAGAAAGGACTTTTTTTTAAACAGAAGCAGCAGACAAGCTGAGTGAAGTCATGGTGGAAGCCCAAGCTCTCTCACATAATTGAGGCAATAATTTAGGTGAGTGTGAACAGCAGAAAATATTCCAGAATGAATGTGCAAAAAAGTTGGTAGAGCTAGTAGAAATGCTGTTTGGCTCAGTTACACTTGTGTGGGTTGTCATGGACATATTCCTGTAACAGCCTGTATAATAGTTAAAGAAAAAAAGTAATATTTATAGAAATTATGTAGATGGCAGAAAATGTGCTTTGGAGCTTTATTTGAAGTAGTAGTAGTCGTCGTCGTCATCATCATGGCTTTATTTGAAGTTTTAGTAGTAGTAGTAGTAGTAGTAGTAGTCGTCGTCATCATCATCACAATATCTGATTACCACTGCTGATACATTGCATTACTTTTTTGCCTTGTCTGAAGGGCCAGGGGATTGCACTGCAGTTTCCCTATCTGCACATCAGAAAAAGTTAAGAATTTTAAAAACATTTAATCTAAGTGATGTAGTGCATCAGTGATAATCTAGTAGAGTCTAATAATAATAGTAAGTTCACTTCTGAAAAAGAAGGGTGCTACTGCAGTAGAAAAAAGCCACAATTTGACTTTAGAATAAAGGGTATGTTTCCTTTTTTTGAAAGTCAGACTGTTCACGCATGGTGGCAATTGACACAAGAACAGGTCAGGGATCTTCATGAGAGCCACCATCCCTTGACTGAGAATGGGAGAGCTGTTTCCTGTCAGAATGGACCTTATTGGGCTAAAGAGAGTAATGATCTCTTTATAGTGCAGTCTTACCGAAGTGTGTACTTTAACTTTTCTTTATGGAAATACATGAGACTGAGAAGTGCTTAATCGTGATACCCAGTGAGGTGTAGTGGATACAGCTTGCTGCACACTGCTACACATGATGAAATTCCCTGTGGCCTTCATATGTTGGATTTGCAGCTCCCATCAGCCACAGCCAACATGGCTAATGGTCAGCGATGATGGGAGTGAAGAGTCCAACAATGCCTGGAGGCCATAGATTCCTCGCTACTGCTTTTATACCCATTGTTAGGATTGGCAATTACCTCAATACCCAATTACCTACTTAATCACTTTGAAATGATGTTTATGTTTGAATTTTGTTAGTCACATAGCTCTGTCCCATCTGTGTGGAGACTAAAGAAAACACCTTTACAGCCAGTATTCATTGTCTAGATAGTAACTTGGCCTGTAAAGTTACCTGAAATCACCCACTGCTGAAATCGTTGTGAAGAATGAGTCCAGAGGTGAGAACTGACACTGGGCCAGTTTTTAAATCCAGAGAGAACCAAATTTACAGATGGATCTGGGTCCAGGCCACAAAAAGAGTCACATAAGGCACAAAACTGCTCCAGAACAACTGGGATCTATGTGGGAGCCTTGAAATGTCCTCCAAGTCAGAGTGAGAGACCTGGACATAACCCTAATTATACTAAATTTCAGGTTTTTCTTAATTGTTAAAATGCTAGACATTTGATTTGATAGTGCTATAGGACCTCTAAAACTAGCCTGAAGCTGTAATATACGTGCCTGACTCTAACTCTGGGTAAAAAACAACAAAGGAATCCACAAACCCAAAGTTTCTCTCTGCCCTCCTGGAAGAAGATCTGCCTGGAATCCAGAACACGTGGCGTCTCTTAATTCTGGTTGAAGATCCTTAACTCAGGACCAACTGGGCAATCCAGCAAACTGCACAGGACTGGAGCTTCATTGTGCACCCCTCAAAACATGCATGTAAAATTGATACAGTAGCAGAAGCTATCCTAGAACTCAGGGTGGGGTAAGGAGCCAGGCAGATTTGGGAATCTAAATGACAGTTGGATTCAGATTTGCAGATCATACAGAATCTTGCCATTTGGCCGGTTGCCTCCTTAATTCTCACTCTCTCACTGACACTCACAGGGGCAACATCTGAAGAAGGTCTAAAGAGGATTAGGGGGAAAGATGGAGACAGCACCTCTGTTGCAGAAATTTCTCAGGGTTCAGCCCAGAGCTTTTGGGGTAAGTGATGAATGACTGTGAGATGACTGTCCCAGGATGTGTTGTTTTCTTCCTGAAACAAAAGGGTTGTGGGGCCAGACAAGGATCACCCGCAAAGCCCATATTATGACCTGGAAACTCACTACTCAGTCTCACATAGGTAAAGAGTGGGCTGCCCTATTCATAGGTGGGAGAAAGCAATCTCCCTCTGCTCCATGTTTCTGTGCCACTAGCCAGCATGTCATTTGCACCTTGATAGGAAGAACAGCTTTGGGGCCTGATTCCTAGTTGCTGCCAGGGCCCGTCTTTTTTCCTCCTTCCTTTAGGCCACAGCCCAGGGGTATTGAACCTCTGGCCCTGGCTCTCTAGAGGTCTTAGTCTAGCTTCTTGGGCTTTCCCGGAGGGTTGTACCCTTTCCCTGTGATAATAGAGGTCAGTAGTTTTTTCACGGTTTCCATCTTTTGCACAGAGTCCAGCAGGTTAGTGATCTAAGCAGCTGAAGAGTTTTGCAAAAGGGAATTTTGCAATTCTTCTCACCACTGTACAATGAGTTGCCCCCTTTAGCAATGATGGTGTGTGTGTGTGTGCGCGCGCACACACACACGCGCACAGCTGATTGACCTACGTGTGGGGTATAGAACTTCTACTCCTTACCAGAAATGTTTTGCTTGATTGTCCAGTGACTTCCAAGACTTGTGCTTCTCTCCAGGATCTATAAGGACTGGAAACTTGATTTACATAAAATAATGAACATTTGCATCCTTAAGATGTTGAGCTTTATGCCTTGCATTGGAATTCACATATCTAATCCATTCTGGCGACACAAGGGATACAAATACATGCAACGACCTGCATGGGGTTTGGCCAAAGCTTATCTTTTATAGGGGATTGCTTAATCTGTGGTAGAAGCCTTGCCCTTCGCTCCTTGAAGACTATTTCTTTTCTAGGCAGTACTGGTGGTCCTTGGATTGGTTCAGTCAGCCTTGGGAGGCCTCTTTCTCGTCTTCCACTGTTCCTACACAGACTACCTTGGCATTCATTTCTTCTCAGGGATCTCGGTAAGTGGATGACTTTGCCAATCCTGGGAATTCCAAACACACACACAAAAG